GTTCAAAAAAACCAGGAAATCAAATATTCACAAAAATACCAGTTTTCCTCAATCCACAAAATTGGTATCCACTGAAATAAATGAATCCACAGTATTTTTCCTTTGATTTCATTAGAAATGATTTATCTTAAATAAAAACATTTATTTTACCCTTATTAATCAAGTTCAGAAAAAAATTACATATATCATTTATATGTTTTGGAGTTTAGTGTGACGTCCATTTTCACGGAACTAGTACACATATTTGTTTGGGGCCAGCTGAAGCCCTCCTCCGGGTGCAGGGATTTTCTCGCTGTGTTGAAGACCCATTGGTGGACTTCGGCTGTTTTCTGCTCTTTGGTCGGGTTGTTGTCTCTTTGACACATTCCCCATTTCCATTCTCAATCTTATATATTCTGTAGTCATAATTATAAATGTTAAAATATATATTTAATTCTTGGAATAAAAAAAAAGTTACAACCCTTTTTCGTATGGAACTGGATGTGATGTACTATGATTTGGTGATATTTCACCTAAAGAGGCTGTAATTAATTCCTTGTGAATAAGAGTGTAAAAGCTTGTTGACAAAGAAACCAAAATAAGGATTGGTGTTTGAAAATACTAATCTATTTCAGGGAAGATAGTGAAAGACCATCTGACCTTGTGGTAGAGGTCAAAGAATTATGTGACCTTTTAGGTCATACAGCAGAGCTGATCGGCACAAATGTCAATGCCAATCCTTATGGTATGAAAACCTTTGTTTCATTTTATTAATATTTATATGATTTCAGTACAATATTTCCTGGTGGTTTATTGATGATACTTATAAATAAATGTATATGTATATAGTGAAAATGTTGCTTCATATTTTTATGCCAAGAAGTTTGTCTAATATATTTTCATGAACAATGAATAGTTTACCAATGAACAAAAAGGTATTGCTTTTTTTTCATTGAACTTTCATGTATGATCATTTTGTTAAATTTCTCATATAAATGAATGAACAAGTTTTCTACCACTTAATTATCAGAAAGTATCCATAACATACTGTAAAATGTTAAAACGTCTGGTCTTGGTTTATAAAACATGAGGGAAGATTTTAATATAAATCTCAATTTAACTGTTTGTCTTGGTTTATAAAACATGAGAGAAGAATTTAATATAAATCTCAATTTAACTGTTTGTCTTGGTTTATAAAACATGAGGGAAGAATTTAATATAAATCTCAATTTAACTGTTTGTCTTGGTTTATAAAACATGAGGGAAGAATTTAATATAAATCTCAATTTAACTGTTTGTCTTGGTTTATAAAACATGAGGGAAGAATTTAATATAAATCTCAATTTAACTGTTTGTCTTGGTTTATAAAACATGAGGGAAGAATTTAATATAAATCTCAATTTAACTGTTTGTCTTGGTTTATAAAACATGAGGGAAGAATTTAATATAAATCTCAATTTAACTGTTTGTCTTGGTTTATAAAACATGAGGGAAGAATTTAATATAAATCTCAATTTAACTGTTTGTCTTGGTTTATAAAACATGAGGGAAGAATTTAATATAAATCTCAATTTAACTGTTTGTCTTGGTTTATAAAACATGAGGGAAGATTTTAATATAAATCACAATTCAACTGTTTGTCTTGGTTTATAAAACATGAGGGAAGAATTTAATATAAATCTCAATTTAACTGTTTGTCTTGGTTTATAAAACATGAGGGAAGATTTTAATATAAATCTCAATTTAACTGTTTGTCTTGGTTTATAAAACATGAGGGAAGAATTTAATATAAATCTCAATTTAACTGTTTGTCTTGGTTTATAAAACATGAGGGAAGATTTTAATATAAATCACAATTTAACTGTTTGTCTTGGTTTATAAAACATGAGGGAAGAATTTAATATAAATCTCAATTTAACTGTTTGTCTTGGTTTATAAAACATGAGGGAAGATTTTAATATAAATCACAATTTAACTGTTTGTCTTGGTTTATAAAACATGAGGGAAGATTTTAATATAAATAACAATTTAACTGTTTGTCTTGGTTTATAAAACATGAGGGAAGAATTTAATATAAATCTCAATTTAACTGTTTGTCTTGGTTTATAAAACATGAGGGAAGATTTTAATATAAATCACAATTTAACTGTTTGTCTTGGTTTATAAAACATGAGGGAAGAATTTAATATAAATCTCAATTTAACTGTTTGTCTTTGTTTATAAAACATGAGGGAAGATTTTAATATAAATCACAATTTAACTGTTTGTCTTGGTTTATAAAACATGAGGGAAGAATTTAATATAAATCTCAATTTAACTGTTTATGTTTGTTGAAAAAATACCACTACACTTGTTTCTGGAATAACCTTCATTTGGTATGCTGGAAACCAAAAGTTGAAATATAATAAAACTCTGACTTTTTATGCCCTGTCTATGACAGAAGGGGACATTATGTTTTATGGTCTCTGTATCTTTGGTTTTAGTTTAAGGTAGGTTTAAGTTTTGGTTAACAGTAGGGTAGTTTACCATGAAATTGTACTCGCATCAATTTTAAACAGTATAAATGTTCATTATGATTATAACTTGTAAAATTATATGCCAAATTAAGGATTTGACCTAGGTATTGCTATTTACTGAACATGGAAATTAGGAATTTAATTTAAAAAATCAGAAAATTTAACATATTTGCATATTGTAGGTATTGGAAACAAGAAAAATCCACTCCATATGCTAGTCATTCATGGATCAATAGCTGTTAAAAATCCACCAATCCTCAAACTAGATGGTGTGAAGGACTGGTTTGAATCATCTGATACTAATAATGGCCGTGTAGAAGGTGTTGTGTGGCACTGCCCTTCTGGAGTTCTGTATAAAGTAAGTAGTTACAGCGCTCACAATTATTAATTGTCATTCTAAATGTAAAAATAAGAAGATGTGGTATAATTGCCAATGAGACAACTCTCCACCAGAGTCCAAATGACATAGAAGTTAACAGCTATAGGTCACCATACGGTCTTCCAACAATGAGCAAAGCCCATACCGCATAGTCAGCTATAGAAGGCCCGGTATTGACAAATGTAAAACAATTCAAACGAGAAAACTAACCTCCTGGAGTTGGTTTCACAAAAAACTTACAACTAAGATTGATTGTAAGTATACTAAATTGTTCATGATGAAACTTTGTTGTAAGTTTTTTTTGTGAAACCGACTTCAGCATATTGTTCAGATTTATGTACAAAATAATAAAGGAAAAACTAATATGATATACAGCCACAAACAACAACCACTGGCTTACAGGCTCCTTAAATGTTCCTTCTTTGTTTTGATTGCATTATTGAGTTGTGTACTGTTTGTTTTTTTTATCCCACATCTCCCATTACTCATACTACTGTGGATTCATTATTACTTGTTGGATACCAATTTACATGGATTTCATGAGTACAGGTTAACCAAGAATTTAAAATCTCAACAAATTACAAATTTTCTATAGGCTTGTATGCAGACTTTTGCAAAACCATGAAATAAAATAAGCAATTATCAATCAGTAATTATATAGAAGTGGTGCATATGAATAATAGGCTTCAATTACTGAAATGTTAAACAAAACTCATTAATCCAAAGTGCACAAAACTATAAGTTGTAATCCAAATCTACTAATGACAGATGTCTATCAAACTCTTGGATTTTTATTCAATTAAATTTGTACCCAACTTACAGAAATAACATAAGAACAAGAATGTGTCCATAGTACACGGATGCCCTACTCACACTATCATTTTCTATGTTCAGTGGATCGTGAAATTTGGGTCAAAACTTGGCATTAAAATTAGAAAGATCATATCATAGGGAATATGTGTACTAAGTTTCAAGTTGATTGGACTTCAATTTCATTAAAAACTACCTTGACCTAAAACTTTACAGACGGACAGAAAAACAGACGCACAGATGGAAAAACATAATGCCCCTAGATGGGGCATAAAAATCATTGAAAGGAGACATCTGTCAATTTGTTTTCCTTTGGAATTAACAACTCCCCTTTCACTAACAACTGGATTTCAATGAAAGTTCCAGAAAGTCTTCAGTACCCAGTGAACTTCAGCATTATTTTTTTTTGTGGTCTACAGTAGTGAAATACATCTTAACTAAAGGGGGACAGGATATGAAAAGACACATGCTTTGTCTACACAAAGCTCATCAGTGGTGCTCGATTCAAAAGTTTGAAATCATAACAAAGTTGAAGAGCATTGAAAAAGAAAATATCCAAAAAAGACATTCATTCCTCGGGCCGAGAAAAACCCTAGTCTTTGAATGATTTCAATATTTTATGAACAGTAAATTTACAGAAAATGGCCACATCAATAACATAGAAACTTATTTGAACATCCCCTAGATTATGGCTATTAAAATTGGCTGCAAAATTTAAAAATTCCAAAAATGACTGAATGAGTGATGTGTTTGTCCTGATTTGGTGCAGCTAATTTTTAACCGGACTTTTGAAGGAAAAATCAGTTATTGATTTGGGGATGTAAGGCGGGCGGCTGCCAAACAGTGTCCGTTTATTAACATGCAAAGGCTTTGACGAAATTTTTTCAAATTTAGATATGTTGTTTCCTGTGACTAAATGAAGGTCAAGTTCAATTTTCACAATTTTAGCTTTTCTCGTTGTTGAGTTGTCATCCTTTTAGTAGCCAAAAGTTATACTTATTATATGATTGAGTTATTTCCCTTTGAACAGAAATTGTGATTTGCAAATATCATTTTCATTAGATAATAATCTATTTTTATTTTATTATTATTACAGATTCATCGACATCATCTAAATCTTTCATGGCCAATCAAGGAGCCACAACTCTCATGTCGTAAAATTTATTTTTGTGTTGATGTTTCAAAGTATGAGTTATCAGACGATAAAAAATCAATATTTACAGACTTGGCAAAACTTCAAGGACAGTCATGTGACTCTTTGATGAATATTCATGAATTATGCATTGAGGAAAATGAAACAAGATAGCACATTAATGTTGTGTATTTATTTATTTTGTCATGTTTAAAATATACAAAAAGAAATGTGTTGAGTTTTTGTCAAGACACTTGACAAAAGTGATATTGAGCATAAAAGAATTAGATTACAATGACCTCATCATAATCAAAACAACTATCACAAATTGCAAGTATACACATATCAACTCACATTTGGCATATACGAAACACTCAGGCCATATTAGAAATAGAACTAGAAGTTGTTAGATCATTTCATTTGGGCGATTTTACTTCTATCTAAGTTCACTATGTCTATACACAAGGCCCTGTGAGGTCAAAATATTGGGTTGTTATTTTTTGTCTTTTAGCTTAATATTGTTTAGTGTTTCTTTGGTAGAGAACCATAAAAATATATCAATATTTTATTATGGCCTTAAATTCTTTTAAATTACAAACATACAAACTACATAGTCTAACAGTAGGTCACAAGTCTGGTGCATACACATCTTTGAAAACAATAACGAAAAATTTCAACATGTTAGATATGTCAACATTTTTATAGGACTATTCTCTCTATTAATATTTAACATCCTTTTCAGTTTCATGTTGATTTTAAATAGCAATATACAGTTGAAAGTTTTATAACAACAAAAAAAAAAGAGAAGAAAAAATAATGTCTAAAATGTAACCTTTCCCGGCAAAATATACAAACATATATATTAGAAAAAAATATAGCAAATGACCTTCAAATGTGAGTTTTCATGCCAGTGTAACACTGAGCATCAGTAAACATGGGTTGCGTCACGGAAAGAACAATTTTTTTTCAAAATAGCACAATTAAAAATCAGCTTAAGACTCATCAAAAAGATAAATAGGTTTTGTTTTTGTAATAATGTTACACAGTTCAGAAATTCAACTGTCCAATTAAATTACATTGTCCAGTCTCACTATCCTTGTAAAAGATGTCTAAACCAAACAGAATATTCAATAAAAACACATACACTGAAAACCATATATCACTAATGTACTGCTGGTTGCATTGTGTATGTGCAAACTGAAGAAATTGCCTGAAAAAAAAGATGGTGTAAATTCAGAAAATATTGCGAGGTTTTTATTATTGCTAATAATGCGACTGGGTGAGTATCGCAATAATAAGAACCCGCATTCTGATATCCAATACATATGGCCACAGACCACAATTAGTTCCTCTATTAGTTCTTTATAACATTTTGTCTCATTAAAAAAATTCACCTGCTTTTTTTTGTCAAATATTTTGTGTGTGTGATGTACAGTACAAGTCCAAAAATATATCCAACTTTCAAAAGAATTGCATGTTTACATCTTAAAAATTTAGCCAATACAAATCCATAACCCTATAGACAAGTCAAGAGATGTTCCGAAAAACTGTAAATATTACCTTTTTGCACCTGGCCTTATCACTCTTTCCATATCAAAATCAGTTAAAATAAAACATCCAAAAATTTATTTCAGCTCTCTTCTTTCATTTCCATCCAATAGAAACTAAGAAATGTATGAGAAAGGGAAAGAAAAAAATAAAGAAAAAATACACTTTAATTAAAGGGAACTATATTCGTAGACAACAAAAAGCGGGATCATTAATTGTGGTCTGGGGCCTATATCTGTATGCAGCTTTTCCTGAAATCGCAAAAATTAATCTCCCACTTTTGTTCATTCTTCAAAAATCGCAATAATAAATGCACGCAATAATTTCTGAATTTACAGTGGACAGGAAGACTTTCCTTTCATACATTAAATAAAGGCTTGACAGGTTAAATCTGACATATTTACACACATATTTCACATAAATATTATTATTTTTCACGTCTTAGTTCATCATGCTAGCCATAATACATGTACACTACAGTTAAGGTGGATTTATCATTTCTACCCATCCACGGTGGTAGTTGACACAGAATGGGAAAAACTAGAGGATCAGTCCCTATGCCAACCATATGGATTGGACATGCCAATTCTTTTATTTCATTATGAGACTTAGACATGAAATATGATGAACCTTTTTGATTTTCCACATTTTGACAAAATTTAATTTTGAGTAGGTGCGATTGAGTTGCCCATGGTGGGCAGGTGAAAATGACAAATTTCACCTGGACTGTAGTGTATTACTACCAAAAGGTAGCTATTGATCTAGGTAGTCATGATTTTGTGGCAATGTTCCGTCTGATGACATGATCACTCTTTCATGCTGTTCAATCCTTTTTGTGTAGCTAGTGAGAAGGAATCCATCTTTTGTTTTGTTCCTCTTTACTTCCATGTTGCAGGTGAGGGTCGTGAGCCATCCTTTCTTCCTCTCCCCAAACCACCAGGACCTAATTTTTTGTCCATATTAAGTGCATCTTGTTGTGCCAGCTCTTCATCATATCTGCAATATAATATGTTTTATTATGTATTTACATATGAAAAATTTAACTACTGGGAATTGTTTTTTACATAGTTTGCTGTTTCTATATATTTACTAAATGCTTGCATGGTCAAAATTTTTGCCTATGTTAAAATCTAAATTAAGAAACATGCTATTCTTTATATGTTATGCTCATAATTCTATATTCTTTATATTTTAGCACCCCATTATTCTCTATTCTTTTCTTAACTCTTTATTTTTTTTTGCCCTTTATTCTGCACATTTTGCAGATTATGAAGAGAAAGAAGTACTGTATAAACTTATGAGTAGCCAGAAATAACTTGTGAATTTTGTTTGACTTTGACTTACCTTTTACAAAATCAAAACCCTTGGGCATTGAAAAAGTAAAGAAAACTACAGTTTTTTCTGCTTGTTCTCAGCTTTAATAGCATATTATTAAAGATGTGATCCTTTGTAAAATAGTGTATTGAGTTTCTGATCCTTGATAACCAATCGTACAAGTTAAGCATTTTCGTGTCAACAGGATAACCTGGCTCCATGTAATAACATGTTACAAATATTTATATCCAATTTTGAGCTCTCTGTACATTTTTGAAATTTAAGAGAAGCATTAGTCAGTATCATATGCATAGATACAAGATGAGCAATGTAAAACTTACAACAAATCAAAATATCCTAGATGTTCTTTCTGTGGTATTTTGTTCCATCGGACACTATAAAGAAACCAAATATGCATGAAAAAACATTTTTTTTCAATTAACAATGTCAAATAGTAGATAATATTTAGAAACATAAGTAAATCAAAGAGGCACACCCAAAACTTGACAATTAAAACATTGACATACCAGTATATATAAAACATGTACGTGCAATTAATTGATACCTAAAATTTGATAAAGAATTGTTGATTGTTACATTAAAACATGATTAAAATTCTGTGTATTCCACAATTCTGATATTAAAACTGCAAGGGAGAAAAATAAAACTTTAGGTCAAATTGGTCTTAAAATTATATGCTTTTCAACATTTCATGAATTTGAACAAATTGGTTTTAAAATCAAAATTTCCTGTATCTAGACAAATTGTCTTTAAAATCAAAATTTTCTGAATTGGAAGAAATAAATGTTAACCCTTTTTCATTTAATATGTTACTATTGATCAAAATATATCTTTTTCAATTTATTCATCCATTTGACAGTATATTCAAGTAAACAATGAAATTACACCAAATTTTCAGGGTTTTGCTTCAGAGCACAACTCTCGCCCATAACAATATGTACACAGGAATGTATTTTATAATTCACTACTTGATGACAAAAAGTTATTTTTGGCAACTCTTTTGCTCAATGTTGATTTATTCAAATTGTTTCTGAAATGATCAGTTACTTACTCTGGCATCTGTCCAGGAGGTATCACAATATTTATCAAATCATTCATTAATCTGTACTTCATAATTCTATCACTAGATGTCGTACTAGTCAAAGAGGGTGAAGCGTTTACCTATAAAAGATGATAAACACAATAATATATGTAAATTCTTTCTGGTAGTATCAACACAATTATCGTGGAATATAATAATTTGATGTCTTTAATTGTTAAACTTGTGTTGTTGTGTTGCTGTTTCATTGAGATTTCCCTTACATGTTTTATTCATATGGCAAACAATACAATAACAATTCTTAGTCCTAAAATACATATTTTCTGATAATTATGCCCCCGCCGTAGTGGAGGGGGCATTAAGTTTTACCCTTGTCCGTCTGTACGTACATCCGTACGTCCCAAAATTGGTTTCCGTTCTCTAACTTAAGTTTGCCTCAATTAAATGTTATGAAACTTATACACAATGCTAATTACCACAAAACACAGATCAAGTTTGAATTTTGGTGGCGTCACTTTAACCATTCTAGAGTTGTGCCCCTTTATAAATGGAAAAATTGCAAAATTTTTAGTTTCCGTTCTCTATCTTAAGTTTGCCTCAACCAAATGTTATGAAACTTATACACAATGCTTATTACCACAAAACACAGATCAAGATTGAATTTTGGTAACGTCACTCTAACTATTCTAGAGTTATGCCCCTTCATAAATGGAAAAATTGTAAAAATTTTAGTTTCCGTTCTCTAACTTAAGTTTGCTTCAACCAAATTTTATGAAACATATACACAATGCTTATTACCACAAAATAAAGATCAAGTTTGAATTTTGGTGGGGTCATTTTAACCATTCTCGAGTATGCCCCTTTATAAATGAAAAAAAATGCAAAATTTTTAGTTTCCGTTCTCTTACTTAAGTTGCCTCAACCAAATGTTATGAAACTTATACACAATGCTTTTTACCACAAAACACAGATCAAGTTGAATTTTGATAGCGTCACTTTAATCAGTATCGAGTCATGCCCCTTTATAAACATAAAAATTGCCAAATTTTTAGTGTCCGTTCTGTAACTTAAGTTTGCCCCAACCAAACATTATGAAACCTATACACAATACTTATTACCTTAAAACTCAGATCAAGTACAAATTTGGGTAGCGTCACTTTTATCGTTCTTGAGTTATGTCCCTTTATAATGTTGTATGCAAGCAGGGGCATCATCTGTGTCCATGGGGACACATTCTCCATTTATTTTCAATGAGAGCAACATAATTTCTTGAAGACAAAGTGATACTGCTGCATAGTAACTGAAAGCATCATGGAGGCAAAAATAATAACTGGACCCCTGCTTTTGTTCGACTTTTATTTCCATGTGTCAATCAATCTTAGAGTGACCAGTTTAGATACTTACCTCTATTAACCAATGCTTTAGATTGTCATCTACAATGTAACTGGATCCCTGTTAATGTTCGACTCAAATTTCCATGTGTCAATCAATCTTAAAGTGACCAGTTTAGATACTTACCTCTATCAACCAAGGCTTTAGATTGTCATCTACAATGTAATCATATCTGAAATAAAAATTGAGGCCATTTAGCGGTATGGACTTTGACATTTCTTTAACATTAATATTTCACTGGTATTCTTTAGTTTGAAAATCTTGTGTTGTTGAGTCCCTTTATCACTGACATCCCATTTACATACTGAGCGTAAAAAAAGACTGATCAATTACTTTTTCAGGAATAATTATAGCACCTAAAAATTTCAATATCTGACACCTAATAAAAATAAATCAGATTCTTGAAGAAAAAAAAAATCGCTCACCGCCCCTCTGTTTTCATCTGAAAAAAAAAAAAAAAATGAAGAACAACTATTTTATTTGGTGTGGCCTAACTATATAGCTAGTATGTTCACATCACTGACGAAACTTAAGTATCTGACAAAGAAATCACAAACTGTATTCACCAGTTAACACAAGTCTAGATTTTGGGTACACCCTATCCTATGAACTGGAATTTGTTCAAAGAAAACTGCTCCCTTATAATTGAATGATTCAAAGAACAAACAATAATCTCAACATTTACTCAGCATCTTTTTACTGCATTTTAAAAAGAGTGATGAGTGGTTAAACTATTCATATTTTTAAAATGGACTGGACTGCTAAGGGAAATACCATTCTCATTTGAATCTACCCATTTGAAATGGACTAAGCTTTGTGAGACAGTCCACTTTACAGTTGAATGTATCCACTTTAAAAATTCGTAAGGGTTCCGCGGAACCAGGTGTCTCGCCTACTTTTGCTGTTAATCGCAGGCTCAACAAAAATGAGGAAAAAAATTAATAAAAATATTCCTCTCGATACTATCTTTTGATTGTAAGAAGCTTCTGTCCAAGTTTGGTAAAAATCCAGGATAGTTTATGAATCTAATAAATGTTTTAAAAACTTTAACTGCAGGCTGTATGTAATGTTAACTGGAAGAAAAACTGAGTCCATTTATAAGTAAAATACGAAAAACAGGTACAAAATTTTAACAAAATTTCCTTCTAGATATTAGCTTTTGATCATAAACAAGCTTTTGTCCAAGTTTGGTACAAATCCAGGATAGTTTAAGAAAGTTATTAAAATTTCAAAAACTTTAACCACAGAGAGAATATAATGTTTCCTGGCAGAAAAACTAAGTCCATTTATAAGTAAAATTCGGAAAAACTGGAAATTTTTTTTTACAAAATTAACTTCTGGATACTATATCTTATGATCATAAACAAGCTTCTGTCAAAGTTTGGTAGAAATCCACAATAGTTTAAGAAAGTTATTAAAATTTCAAAAACTTTAACCACAGAGTGAATATTTGTGGACGCCGCCGCCGCTGCCAACGACGGAATGTAGGATCGCTATGTCTCACTTTTTCGACAAAAGTCGAAGGCTCAACAAAAATGGACTTTACTTTTATGGCATATACCATTTCTTTAAAAAATTTACCTTTGTAAAAAATGGACTGCTTAAGGTTATGATGAAAATAAAAAAAACACTACTACAATAACTAGTGCATCACTTTTGGCTAAACCCTGTTTTCCTGTCTAATATGAACGTAATGCTTGACCTTTATTGTTTTTGCAATTTCCACTTTTAATCTATTTCCGATAGTTTTCAAGATAACAGCAAGAAACTGCTAAAAATTGAGAAAAAAAAGATATGTAAGAGGCCATTAAACTCAAAACGAGTTGACATATCTTTCTGAAATTTCAGGGTTGATAGAAATTGCTGTGCTGATCATTTTTGCAATTGACATTTTTAACCTAGCTCCTCTAATATTCCAGTTAACTTCAAAAATCTGTCTGAATACATATTTCAGGGGCAATTATTTCAAAACCAAAGTTGGATTTTTCTTAAAATTCCATAGTAAATACATCTTGTCATGCTTATCATCATGTATGCTATTACACTTTTTGACCTAGAAGACATTCTACAAATGAAGTAGAAAAAGTTTGGTTTCAATCCATTGAGGTTATTAAGGATGTTCGCTACTCTGTTTTAAAATAACAAGCTTTTTAAAAGACTGTTCTAAATTTATAGTATATAAATAAAGGAACCAAAAAAACAGAAAAAAATGAAGGGTCTGTGTGCTTGCTTTTGAGATATAAGCCATTGAAAATTTGGCGGGAAATGATTCTCTCTAGATTTTTCATACTTTTAACATTGTCCGCTTTTCTCTTTTAAAAACTATGAAAAAATAACAAGGATTTTATAAGATTTTCAAATATGGCTCCTTAAACTATATGTAATAAAATTATGAAAAGAAAAGTAGGGGTAAGTGGACAAAATTATTTAATGGCAAAACATGGATAAAACCAGAGGATTCTGAAAATCTGGCAAAATTTCAAAAACAAGAGGAGCGAACATCCTTAATAGTAGAAGATTTTTAAAGAAAAGTTTACTGACGTGGATGATGGACAAATACCTACAGTCATTATTTCAATAACTAAGTTCAAACAGTCAGGGGCATTACTTAAACATGTAACTTTAAAAATTACCTATACAAGCAATGTTGAAAACAAGGCTATTTTTAAAATTACTTATATAAGTAACTTTTCTAAATATTATTTTTATAGGTGTCCAGTTATACAGATTTTACTAGTTTTAACAAATTTTTACAGTCATCTGGTTATTTTCCAAGAAATATAAAATCTAATCCTTCTGAAACACTAATTGCCTTTCTGACGCACTTATCTTTCGTATCGATGCTTCTGGGTCAAAGATTGGTCTCTTTGGACTATTAAAATATAGTTTTCCTTGAAAATCTTGAAGGTAGACAGATATAAATAGATAGAAACTTGTGAATTAATTAAGACTTGAAGTTATTTATAATTTATAACTCAAAACAATTACATATGTTCCTTAAATAAGTATTATTACTAACTCTTAGGGACTTATCATTTTTTACCTGGGAAGGGGGGGGCTGGTCATTTTGAAATGAAACATTCAAAATTTCTTGATCCCCCCCCACAATATTTCACTATTTTTATTTGATCCCCCCCGTAAAAACATTTAAAAATTGTGATCCCCCCTCTATTAAACATGCCAAAATTTTACCATGCAAAACACGTATCATGTTATTTCACGAAAATATTGAAAATGAAATATTCTCAGTGTATTGAGTCCAAAAACACATTTGAGGGAAAATTGCCTTGCAATAGGGCTCTTCCATGAGGCCTCTTCCATGAATATAAGTAGGTAGAGCAAGCCAGTGCTTTGAATAGCTTTTTCTTACTTTTTTTTCTAATTTCCTATATTGGGCTATTAAAGAAAACTTTATCCTAAGTAACTCTGTAAAACTGTATTAATTAAATTTGGAGTAATTATTTAATTTGGAATTTAACTAAATCATGGATTTCATGGATATTTACATGTCAGAGCTTGTTACCATGGTAACAATAGTTAACCAATTAAATATCACATCATGGAAAAAAATCCCATGCAGCACACAGACCTATTGATGAATATAAATCCTGTGCGGCGCACAGACCAAGTGAAGATTATAAATCCTGTGCGGTGCACAGACTAAGTGAAGATTATAAATCCTGTGCGGCGCACAGACCAGGTGAAGAATATAAATCCTGTGCGGCGCACAGACTAAGTGAAGATTATAAATCCTGTGCGGCGCACAGACCAGGTGAAGAATAGGCCCCCATTTCATAGTCTAATTAATATTGAAAATGACGGGCATCAGTGCACAGTAGACATATTTTCTTGAGTGAAATATAACGACTAAATTATTCGGATTATGAAGCACCTATGCATTTTATATGGGACAAAATGACACAAAATAACAGCTTCAGATCCTACATCACTAAAGTCTTGTGATGTCTTACTTAATTGTATATGAATGGTGTTAAAAATATATTTCGATTTGACTGTTGACTGTTGTAATGTTAATTCTTCTTGACATTTTGTCTCCGTTGAAGTATGTGAACTACTTATTTCTATGTGCAAAAAATATTGATCCCCCCACATTGGATTTATAAAAAAAATTGAACTCCCCTTTTCCACATACAGAAAAAAACTTGATCCCCTGCATTTTGACCAGCCCCCCCTCCCAGATAAAAAATGATAAGTCCCTTACAAAGATGTATAAAATAACTTATTCAAGTAACATTTTTTAAGTAACCCTTTATGTCTATACTCCTCTCAAATCTAATAAATTCTTAATTTTATGATCTAAAATGATGTAAAAATTCATGAAAACTATACATTTAGACCATGCTTCTATTGAAATTTAAAATAACTCTATTGAGTAATTTGATATTTTTTAAAAACAAAAATTATCTATATAAGCAGAAGTCCATTACTAGAGGAAGTGAGCAAGCTGTACTATATAGCTGGGCGATCACACTGTCCCTGTTATCAGTGGAAAGCGCTATATGTGGTCCTCCCAAATGTCGTTTTTAAACTATGGAATCATGGGTAGAAATATTATCATCAAACAGATAGCTGTTAATTAGCCTCCTTGATTGCCAATTATCTAGCTTCATTTTCAACACTTAGAAAATGATATGAAATTTTATAAAAGAATACATTGGTACCATTTTTCATCACTCAAAGGCAAATGAGAACTATAAAATCATATAAAATCTGCTGTGTCGGACTAAAATGTATCATCTATTTAAAAGATGTAGTTGTTTTTATCAAAATATAGTCATAATGGCTTCCTTTTTTGAATAGAACGTACATGTTGACGAATTAAGTCTCGGTTATTTACGACATCAAGGAAGCAAAATATACCATGATGTATAAGCGAAAGACGTTTATTTTTCTCCGTTAATTCTACCGAAATACATTTGTCAAAAATAACCGATCTTTTGTTGCTACAGATAACTTCGCAACAATTTCGAATTTCTCTTGTTTTTAAGCTATTTTAAAGTAAGAGACATACTTTACTCCTGTCTGTCTGTCATTACGTTCCCCATCATCAGATGTATACATGACGGTCAGTGTTGCAACGTCTTTGATGTCCTTTTTTGGTCGTTTTATAATCAAAAGACTGAAGACACCTGCATATCATGCAGATTTAAGTTTCGATTTATCGTTTGTTGCTAGCTTAACGTTCAGTGGCAAATATATCATGCATATTCCATCAAAGAGTTGTCGCAAGTGTTATTTAACATGCAGAGAGCGTAACATTCATCCTGAATATGCGAGGTACTGGATTTAAAGTCCCTTCTCTGACCTGACGTGGCTGCTAATTTATACATCTCACCAGAGACATATAATACATTGTATTATATGTCTCTGATCCCACACTTGTAAGAAAGGGTTTAACTGCTGGAACCGGACAATTCCAGGGATTACTATATTTCCTTACCCAACTCAACCCTTGAGATTGATTTAGTATTTGAACAAATTTAATCAAATTGTCCTACAGCTAGGGTTTTGAAGTAAAACTTTGTCATATATTCAGTATGAAGTATACTTACATATAGATTATGTATGTATTGCTCATTTGTTTACAAAGGTATAGATCGCAACTTTTACAATTTTAACTTATTAGATTTATATGTCGAACGCACGTGTTGTGAACTGCATTTTTTACATGTATTTAAATGGATAAATGGGACAATATCCGACTGAAATGACAACCTTTGTTTGTCCACACCATCATCCGAGGTAGTATTACCGTCAAGATCTTACGCGGGATCGAAGATATTCGAAATTGAAGAAAGGGCATACAATTATTTTTCCCTCTTTTTTTTCAAAATTGAGGGTACAATTTGTTAATTTTGCTAAAAATGGTTATATCTGTACAATTTCTATGCAACCTCTTATTTCTTAAAATTTGTAAATCGTAACATACATTCTAAAATAAATATATCAAAACGTTTATTCTTATTAAACTCATTCCTAATCCAGTGTTACTTATACTGTATATGGATACACATTTTCCGACCTAATTTTTACTTGCCAACTTTTTAATGGTAATTTTTTCACAATTAGCTCTGAAACTAAACGTGCATTGTATTAAGGAGTAAGCTTTTTTTAATTGGGCTGACAATTTTTCTACGGTTATAATTGTAGTTTTTAAATTGATGAATAATACAATCATTTTTATTATTTAAAATTAAAAACCATCATAATGACTCACGACACTGATATGATGTGGCATCTAGGATCTGCTATTCATTAACACGTCGATGGTCAAACATTATTTTCAACTGTGTGCTAATTAAGTTATAGGGTGTTTTGCATAAATTATCTCTACCCAGAATGCATCACAAAAAATTTGACCATTGATTTTTGTTACTATAAATAGCAATCTCGCTCAAATCCCGTTTCAATCACAGTTGGAAGTACGGGGACAACGTGATCGCCTTACTATATAGCGGGTTGCACACTTCCTTTAGTAATGGACTTCTGATATAAGTAACTAAAAAAAGTTACTTATTTAAGTAACGCCCCTGACTGTCAAACTGAACAATGAAGATGGTGATTGGAAAAAGTCACTGTTAAGCGTTCACTTCACTGAGAAGAACTATGTTCAACCACTGACAAAGCAGATCACAAACTTAATTATTCACCAGTGAACTCCAGTCTAGATTTGGGTTACAATCTATCCTGTGAACTGAAAATTGTTCACTTATAACTGAATGATCAAAAAGTTATCTCAACATTTACTCAGTACTGTATTGGGTTACTACTTTGAAAAACAGTGATGAGTGCTTAAACAGTATTCACTTTGAAAAAATTAACTGGACTGCTTAGGGACATACCATTCTCATTTAGAAATACCTATTTGAAATAGACTAATCTTTGTGGGATAGTCCATTCTAATTTGAATGTATCCACTTAAAAATGGACTTTACTTTAATGGGATATACCATTCTACAAAAAATTTACCTTTATAAAAAATGGACCACTTAGGTTATTAGGTCTACATGATGACCTGAGATGACTTTGGTTATTTGTGTTGTCTGGTTGCTGTCTTATTGATGTTTACACCACATCACTAACATATCACAAAATAAGAAATGGGAAAAATATATTTCAAACACCTACTCTATTTTGGAAAATCTTACTCTGAATTTCATGGTTTTGTCAGAGTTTGTATTCAGTCTATACAAAAACTGTGCTTCGTTAAATTTGTGGTTTACCTATTCCCAGGAAATATACAGAAATTGGTATGCCACAAAAAGTTATGAATCCAAAATAGGCTTTTTTGAAGTTTGAAATAAATCTGAGCAGTTGCAGTTTCATTTGTTGTTAACACTTACCCATAACATTCAAAGCAATGTCTGTCATTGGATATATTGCCCTGTAAATAAAATTCATAATATGAAAATTAGCAATCTAATCTCTCTTTTAAATGTTAAGGTGATTTAAGAGTTTAATGTTCTGATTATTTTTTTTAACTTTTATACCTGTTATTAGATAATGCATGTACTTTTCAGGCCAGTTTCCAAAATTTGTAATTCATTTTCAGTAAGAATAAGACTTGATTATGAAACTCTTTTGCTTATCATTCAACTTATCAATCATAGCTAGGCTTTGTGATGGTTGGAAACTATTTTTAAAACAATAAAAGAAAACATATTGCCCATTCAATCTAAATTCAAATTATAATAAATTAGATGCAAATAAGATATCTATTCAAAACTCCCAACACCCTCACATAGATAACTTGAATTGACCTTATCCTATTCACTCAATAAATTTTGTCTTGAATAGTTCTAATCACATCATGCATAATTTTTACAGTAAATGGTTACTTAAAATGTGCCAATCTTTTCTTCATTGAATAAATCAATTAACCTCTTCAAGCAGTTATTCCTGCAATAGCAGCCATAGAAAATGATACTTCGATATCCTGGCATGCAGGTTGTTACAAATTTAAGGAAAAAACCTTCAGCATAAAAAAAGAAAATTCAGCGACTTACCGATACAGCTTTCAAAGAGTGAACTGTTTGCCAATTTATTTCATCAAATAACCTATCAGTAACCTGTAAAGAAAAAATTAGAAAATTCTTAAAAATTTTGGACATACTACTACATTACATGTCTACTATTAAATGCTAACTTCATACTGAGACTTTTATGGGTCAATTTGTGCAATTCTGTTCGGTTATAGTGGTGTTAGTAACATTTTCTTTAATTTCTTTGAGACATTTTCACATAAGGGGTTATATTTTCTGCATAACATGTGAGAACAAATTTTAACCAATTTAGTGAAACAGGTTCCTGTTTTAATAGGTCTTCTAAGAGTAAAAAATTCCAATTTTTAAGAAATGCCTTCAACAATTTATTTTTCCATTTATCAACTGCATAATAAGGGAAATAAAACTAATAATTCCAATTTAAGATGACTCATTCTGCAAACTTATTCATATATTACCTCTTTCCCACGAGTCCCTTCTAAAAACAAACGTAGGTTTTGAACTGTCCACTTTCCTCCATGGACAGCATTATAATCTTCCTAGAAAAAAAAGATGCATAAAATAACAAAATTGTCTTGAGATGTTCACACAATTTGTTTCTTATGAGCAATACGACGGGTGCCAAATGTGGAGCAGGATCTGCTTACCCTTCCGGAGCACCTGAGATCACCCCCAGTTTTTGGTGGGGTTCGTGTTTTCAGTCTTTAGTTTTATATGTTGTGTTTTGTGGACTATAGTTTGTCTGTTTGTCTTTTTCTTTTTTAGCCATGGCGTTGTCAGTTTATTTTCAACTTATGAGTTTGAATGTCCCTTTGGTATCTTTCGCCTCTCTTTTACAATTAGTGATTTAAATTTGAGACCCATTCATATGCAGAAGAAAGAAACTCATGCATATGCAAAAGACAGTGACTCCATGATTAGCTTACAAGAATCTTTCAGTTTTGTGTACAGATCAACACCTGCATGGACATTTGTTTACATCACGTAATTTTGGTCCGAATAAGTTTTCTTTCTTTTCTTTTTGTTTTAGGGAGGCAATATTTCTCAATTTGTCTTGCAAAGGAGTATTAAAGTTTGGCCCTGAGTATTAAGTCCATTGTTTCAATATAACAAGGGTTTCAAGTTGATGACCAGACATGCTAGAAAGTGAAATAAAACTATTTTTGTCGAGCCCTTTTTGTAAATAGTTAATAGTAACACCCCAAATAGGCCAAAAATAGAAATTTTGGTTCAAGTTAACAAAATCTTCTGGATTTAAACTACAATAGGCATTGGAAACATAAAGTGAAGAGTTCAACAAATTAAATATTTAAGTCAGATGTGTAGTTTTCATGTAAGAAAATTCAACACAACTGGAGTCAGAGTGGAATACATTCACTGCTTAGTGTCTTTCTATTTTCCTAGCATCTTTTTAATATTTATTTTCACCCAGCATTTTCTTAAATGAAAATGAAAATTGCATTTGTTAGGAATAGAGTTATTCCCCTTGATATTTTACACCATATTTAATACTACCGGTGTTTGTAAATCTATTTTTGAACAACAATCCAAAAATCCTAACTTAACAGTTACATGTGAGTAAATCTTACCAAAATGTCAATTGAAATCACTTTAGTTGTATTAAAATGTTAATATTCAAAGTAAAAATAATTTCATCATACCAATCATATGAAAAATTTGCACTATATGAGCATTATTTCAATCCAAATAAGTCATATCAGTGATTATACATCATCTATATAGCTATCTTTGAAAAATTATCAAGGTCATTCTAACTCCATCTATAACACTAAAATATAATAAGCATAAGATGTGACACAAATGAATGAGAAAATATTATACCTCATATTAGTATGAAGTCCAAGAGAGGAGTTGAGATTGTATAAAATACTCCCCCCTCCCCCCCCAAAAAAAATACAATCGGATTTAAACCAAATCTGCCACTCTAAGCTATCATACTTTAAAAGAAGGAGAAAAGATAAAGAAACTGGTATAATCTCAACCTGACTAGCCAAGAAGTTAATTTAATTGTTCTGATCATTTCCTAAGTAAAACTAAAAACTTTCATTATGTGATAATAATTGTTGTGTGATTATTAACAGTGATGGTCAATCAGAACATCTAAAACAGTGATGTTCCTATAATGAAACACAATTTATGAATTAGTCCAGTACTCCTAAAACTAGCCTTATATAAAAAGTTGATCATATTACTTCACACTTTCTTTAACATGTAAGAATTTTGTATGCAAAATAAAAAAAAAAAAAGTGGATCAAAAGAGTGGGTGTTAACTTAACATGGGTTGAATAATCTTATGTTAAAAACTTTAAAATCACATTAGGATTTCTCAGAAATGGATTTAAATTCAAAACTTAATAGGCAGAATGATATTCAAGGGTACTTGGATATGAACGAATTTCTGTCACATCACAACAAACACACAAACACATATAACATGTATAATACATATATATGAAACATTATTATAAATACAAACCCCTTGTTTCTGTATAGAGACATTGGTCAGATGGACAAACATGTTATCCAATTCATTTACGCTAGCATTGTACTTCACAGTGCAAAATCTGGCAAAACCAAGTCTATACCTGTAATAATTAACAATATGTTTTTTTTCTTTTAGTATGATATGCAAATTGTGAAATGTACTTATTTAAATAAATTAATTTCCTGGAATCGGTAATAATGTATTATCATAAGAAATTGGAAATAATGCTCAAGTTATGGAGAAGTTGTATGATTGGTAGATGAAAAAAATTGAATTTTCACCTTAAAATCATTTAAAGCTTAGTTTAAATTGACACAGTTTTAGAAAAGAACATTTATGTTTTTCCCTTATGTTATGTATCAGATTTTTCTTTATGTGAAAAGATCAAGACCAGCTTCCTCCACCATCAAAACTGACCGCCAAAAAAATAGCACAATAGTGCTGAAAGTGGCGTTTAACACCAATCAATCAATCAATCAATCAGTGAAAAGATGATGATTTTCAGGTGGTCAGTGAAAAACCACTATAAGCATTTTATCCTGCATTACAAGTAACACCATTATAATAATATAACCACTGCATTTCAGTGTTCAAGTTTAGCTAGGTGTTTCTAATGATTTTTTAATCTTTAAGCTGAGGATGAGAGATTTTATATGTATTTACGTCATGTATTGGGTCACATTACCTGGCAACTTAAAAGGCATTGGTATCCCTTGATTTCAAAGTTTGCCTCATTCTCCCAATTTTCTATTAAATATACAGTGTACCGGTAATACATTTTCCAAGAATTTTTGGTAAAATATTAATTTACAAAACATCAATGAATGACTACAGCAATTTGTTTTATTGTATGTCATTTATTATCCGGGAACCATACAACTAAAACTAAGCCATAGAAGCAGGATTACCTACTTTTGGTGGGAAGCAATGATACTACATGCATCATTATTATTATTATATTTTTTGATGAAGCCAAATCCAGAAAAAGCGCTTCAGATGCACTAATTGTTATAACTGTAGGTCACAAAATATGTGAGAAAAGAACTTGGTTAAAAAAGTTAAGTATATACTGTATTTTAAGTTTAAGCTGTAAACCTATATAGCCTCCTGAAAGCTCAACCTATAGCTACTATAGCACAGTCCATTGGACACAGATGCCCCCGCTTGTAAATATGCAAGAGTCAATGTACCAATTCAAACTTTTGAGCGTGGAAATGAAACGTTTGGTCAGTACAAACAACAGATGAAGTATTGAAAAAAAGAAATTATTTAAGATATAAAGACGATTCCTCAAGAACAGTAAAAGTGATAGAGTGCACAAAACAGCAAATTTGGTAATTTTCTATTTATAAAGGGGCATAACACAAGAACAGTGTAAGTAATGCCAATCAAATTAGAACTTGATCCGTGTTTGGTGGTAATAAGCATTATGTAGAAGTTTCATAACATTTGGTTTAGATAAACTAAAGTTAGTGAGAGGAAACCAATTTCAGAATGTACAGACATACAGACGGACAAGGGTAAAACTTAATGCCCCCTTCGCCTAGCAGAGAGGGCTTAATAAAATCATTTATAAAATTAACTATAAATAATTATAAGATTCTTAATTCAAACTTACATGTAACATTTCAATGGTCTAAATGAAGTGACCAACACATACAATCTGAGATCAAACTTCTTGCCACCAATAAGTAATGGATTGTCTATATACTTCGATATAACATAGGTGTCTTTAGAAGTTGGAGGTGTAAAGCTGAAATTGAAAGTAAAATCCTTGCCTATGTTATTTTTGAAGGTTTAAAGCTGAAAATGAAGTAGAATTCTTGCCTATATCTTTTTTAAAAAAAATTTTTAAATATGAGTTTGTTTTCAAACATATATAACATAAGTATAACTTACTACCTTTAATTTGAATTATATTCAGTATTTTTTTTATATGCAAAAAGTTTTAAGACAGTTATGTTTTGGCCACATTGGCATGATACACTCAGGTCCCCAAGATCTTTAAAATTATTATTTTTTTGTAAAGGTTATCTATTTCTTCATCAATGTTTTTCGTGTCAATATTTCACATGCATAAAAGCCATGATATTCATTAAAACCAACTTGAGTTATTTGCCTTCTTCAGCTACTGATATCAGTGCTGTTTAAGTTGGGGTTCTAGCTGCTCAGTATTTAGTTTTCTATGTTGTGTTTTGTATACAATGGTTTGTCTTTTGTTCCTTTTTCATTTTTTGCCATGGCATTGTCAGTTTGTTAATGACTAATGAGTTTGAATATCACTTTGGTATCTTCTGCCTCTCTTTTATTGTACAAAATTCATTTATTTATGTAAGTCTTTTGATTTTATTCTTTTACATACAAGAGTACAAGAAACGAAAGCTACATCATCCAAGCACCTGTCCTTTCTTTGAAGTTGTTGTTAATTTCAGCAAACAGTGGGTATTTCTCAATCAAATTTCATTTTTTTTACCATGTCAGTGATTCTATATCAATATTTAACATTTTTTCATAATTATGTGAGAAACTATTTTAAATTTTTTTACTTGATCATTAATATTCGGTAACCATCTATAATCTTTAAAAATTCATATAGATATAGAAGTTTTGAAAGAATACTAACAACTGTAACACAAAATAATTAACCTAGCAACACTTACAACTAAAAAAGATGTTTATTGAAGAGAACCTTAAATGCAAATATTATCAATAACATCAAGTATCATATCAATATATTCAAAATATATTCTTCTCAAATTATATTTTCATAAAGTGGTAAAGACCATTGAGATGGCTATCTGATCTCCTGTCAAATATGTCTTTACATATTTCATCATTACAGAGGGGTTCAATGGAAGGTTATCCAAACCATCGAGTATACCTATTTCTGAATAAATTTACATGCGAGTTTACAAAACAAAAATCAACTTCTTTAAATTCACACTAAAACCATAAATCTTTTTTTAAATATATATTTTTCATTGTTAATCTAAATGACAAGATGAATTGAATTAATAAATATTCTCAGCAAAATGAAGAAAAAAAACCCAGAAAATATTATTATTCAGCAGCATAAAATAAAAACAAATGAAATTCAAAATTATACCATAATAATCAAAAATAGGTGCTTTTACAGTGTACATTGTTGTAGAATTAAAAACAGATATATTACTTAAAACTTTCACCTGATCAAGCAGGGCTTTAAAGGCTATATAACTGATCAGGGATGTTCTATTTAGCAATAATATAATCTTCATGCAAATTTATGTTTTGCAAATCATTTGTATGGAGGTTTTGTCAGATTATTAAGAAAGCATTGAAACCGTTCACAATACTGGAAATTTACATTTTCTTGAGTAGAATACCCATAAATTATGTAGCAGTTTAAACAACACCTGATCTAGTGAAATCAATGCAGTAATAATAAAACTTATTAATCATATGAAAGATGCTAAAAAAAATTGGTTTGTCTGAATTGTCAACATTTAACTTATTCATCATAGTATCCATATTGTAATAGTTTTCATTTCATTCTTGACAGAATAAGAAAAGTAAAAAAAATCAGAATTCTATGAGTAAAATGCAGACTTTATACAACCTATTAAACTCATTTATATACAACAAAGTTGATCACTGGTTCCAAATTGCATGAAATTATTTTGAATATCTTTTGACATATCAAACAAGAAGTCCATTTTAGTGTAAACATTTTGCTGTCATATGACAGAAAAATTATTTTATATAATATTTTAATTTGTAAAATTCACTGAAAGTTTTTTTTACTATTTTTCAAGACAAACCATACATTTAACAACAAATGAGCTACATCAGATAGAAATCAACCTTATGCAACTGAATATCAATACATCTGTTAACTTGTTTCGGGTTGAACAAATCTCTATTCAAAGTCTGTGTTTGGAATTGAGTTGATATAAGAACCCTACAAAACAGACAAAAATTCATCTTTTATTTCATATTTGAATGTTTCAAAATCAATCAAAGTCCTGTACATGTACATGTATACCTGAACTTGCATAAGGTTGATTTTTATCTGAAGCAGCTCAAATCATATACAAGTACACATGTTTTGTATTAAAACTCTTGCTTATCTAAAATATATTATCATGAAGTTTAGACTGTTTTAACAACAAGGCCCTCCTTTCACAAAAAATCTTACAACAATTGATCTTAAGTTATGAACAATTCATATAAAAATAAGGAGATGTGGTATGATTGCCAATGAGACAACTATCCACCAAAGTTCAAATGAAGTGGATGTAAGCAATTATAGGCAACCATACGGCTTTCAACAATGAGAAAAACCCATACCGTATGGTCAGTTATAAAAGGCCCCAACATGAAAAATATGAAACAATTCAATTGAGAAAACTAACAGCCTAATTTATAACAAAACAGTTTACAAAAAACAAACATGACAGACAGTATACTTACAATCAATTTTAGTCGTAAGATTTATTTTAAAACGCAGCCAGGAGAATATTAGCACAACCCTTAATTGTTCAGCCTTAAAATACTTTAATATTATGTATTGTCAAGGTTTGCATAAATATTACATGAGGGTCTGGATTTGGGGTCTTTTATTTCTTTAATTTTTTAGACCATTTTGCTCTTTTCTTTATTTATTTTGTCCATTATTCTCTATTCTGTAATCCCCATCCAGACCCTTTTACATGCCCAAAGTTTACAGTACATTAATTTCTAATACATGAAGGTGGCCATCATCTGAACATTTTATGCCTTTTTTCCCAATATAATCTTCTTTTATGTATTTCATTACGGTGAGAATGTGTTTTGTGTACATCAAGAAAGCAGGCAAAAAAAAAAAAAGACAAATGATAAACACCTTTAAATTCACTAAAATAAAAACAAGGACCTGGAATTCTGACCTTGATTTTCACAATTCCTTTTTTTAAGCTAAATTTAACCTCAATAGAAACAAGAACTTTAACAGTATACTGTCGATTCATTATTATTTGTGGGATACCTATTTTCTGGGATGTCTTCGGTATAGTTAAAAATATAGTACAAATTTAAATGTTCAACCAAGTACAAATTATCTATAGGTTTGTAAGCAGAAGTTTGCAAAACAACGAAATCAAGTGTCCACAAAAAATAAATGATTATCAACCAATGAAAATTGGTTCTAGCGAAAATATATGAATCCATAGTAAATGCAATTGCACATTAATTAACATACAATATACCCATTAAGCACCACTCTTTAATGTATTTTATTTCAATTATAAAGAAATATGACCAAATAATTGCTTACATTTGTATCAATTAGTTGCTTTATAATGCATGCTGTCAAATAAAAGATGGCGATGTCAAACCTAACACTTTTGAAATTTTTTTCATTTTTTTGAAATTTGTAAGATCCCCAAAAACTTGGTAAATTTCTGTAATGGTAAAACAATGAAAATTAAAAAAATACTGGAAATTTATTTTGAACTAATAAAAAATTCCAATGACTGGTAAAATCATCTATAATTAGACTATCTTCATATTACTGGTTTTTCTCTGTAGTATATAATTTTACACGAAGTTACCATTTCTGTAATAGGACATTCTGGTACTCTCTCAAGTAAGAGCAACCAACAGAAGTAAAATCCAGTTTACAATCGGTGCAATTTAGGGAAAAAAATTTATGTTTTCTATACATGACAAATCATCGGAAAAGTCAAAAGTTGGTAATATGAAAAAAGTCTATTAGCAAACATATTTTTAACAAATGTTACCTTCAAGAAACCTCTAGTTTAATAATTTTATTACCTATATAAGCAAGAGTTTTATTGACACAGAAAGACAGATTCAGACAGTGCAGTGCGGTACAGACTCACTTGGTTTTTTGTGACCACTTTCGTAATTGGGATAGCTTGTTGACTAGGAAAATCCCAATTCCTCTAGCTAAAACATGCACAAATATATACTGATTATGAAAGCATAATGAATAATGAACAAATATGGCTAGCATCTACACATCCAAACTAACAACTCCATGCGGTGATGTCCCTGTAAAAAACTACCAAGGTGGATTAACAGCTCATTCACATTTTCCATTTGAAAACTAGGTTCATTATTACTTTTGAACTAATTAATTTTTTTTCCATATCTTTATAAGATTGAAATCTTCAAAATTTGTATGCCCAAGATACAGCAGACTAACAATGAAGGTTTCAAATATGTTTTAAAATGAAATGCAAAATTATAGAATCATTTCAGAGCAAAATCAATCAAAGTTTAAAAGAAAAATGTCAATGAGCAGCAGTTAAGGAGGGATAACTCTTCCTATTAAAAACAAATTTCACAAATGCATATTTTCCCAAATCTGCCTTTTTCAGAAGATTTTTTATATTAATTTTTATAACACAGATTTCCACTTTAATATGAAAACTTTTTCAACCTTGTTATTTCCTTTGTGGTTCTGTTATGCATTGGAAAAAGGGTAGCAGAGTTATCTCCCCTTAAAATGAGAAATAGACTATAATATTTTCTTTTCACCCGAACTCACTTGTTTGTTTTACTATCTCGAGACCATTTCTTCAGTTGAGACAGCTTGTTTACCAAGAAAATGCCTATTCCTCTTGCTAAATTATATAAAATTAGGAATATTTGTTAATTTTTTATTTCTTTTTATCTACCTATTTGTGTATAACATATAGGCAGTGTTTACGGATATTTTCCAGATGTAACAATAAGGAAAGGAAATGTGAGGCAGAATCAAATAAGACTACAGCCCAACAACAGAAGATAATCAAAATAAATATAAAAAAAGTATCCACTCTTTTTTTTCTGTTTAGCAAAAAATTGACAATATTCATTAAAAACTACAACTAAAGCATATACCTACAACAGAAGCATATAAAATGTACTTAACAATAATAATCAATGAGCAATCTGGACAAAAGGCATTTAATTTCAAGGTTTAAAATCCTCATAGAGAGATAACTTCTCAAAATTTTGTAAAAATTAGCCCCTCTCTTCTCTTTCCAAAAAAAAACACCTCCTTTTCAAGATGTAAATCCAAACCATTTGCTTACAAAGCTTGTTTTGCCAAATATATATGTAGATGGCACATGTCTTTACCATTATAGGGTTTAATTAAGCTTCAGATAATATTATTTAATTTATAGGGGACTTTCTTAAAAGACAACTACAAGTACTATTATGAAAACTTAAAAACGAAACCTCATGCCCCCTTACAAAGTCAAAAATTTGCTTAGGGAATCCCAAAAATAATTCAGATAAAAAAATAGAAAATTAAATGGAGAATAGACACAGATGATGCCCCTGCTTGCATATAACATTATAAAGGGACATAACTAGAGAACTGTAAAAGTGATGCCATCCAAAATCAAACTTGATCTGTGTTTTATGGTTATAAGCATTGTGAATAGGTTTCTTAACATTTGGTTGAGGCAAACTAAAGTTAGAGAACGGAAACTAAAAATTCAGCAATTTCTCCATTTATAAAGGGCATAACTCGAGAACGGTAAAAGTGATGCCACCCAAATTTGAACTTAGTTTAAGTTTTGTGGTAATAACATTTGGTTGAGGCAAAGTAAAGTTAGATAATGGAAACTAAAAATTCAGCAATTTGTCCATAACTCAAGAGCGGTAGAAGTGACACAACCCAATTTCAAGCTTAATCTGTTTTTTGTGTGTGGTAATAAGCATTGTGTATAAGTTTCATAACATTTGATCCAGGCAAACTAAATTTAGAGAATGGAAACTAATTTTGGGGTGTACATACGGACAGACTTACAGACCGACAAGGGTAACACTTAATGCCCCCTTCCCCACAGCGGGAGCATAAAAAGGCAGTGCACAATGGCATTATTTTGTGAAGAAAATTTCACTAAATTTTGATTAGGGGTTTAGGAGAATCAGAAACAAATAATTACTGTAGAAAATCCATGTCGTCCCAAAAATCATTTGGATGAAGAAATGAAATAAATGTACATAATGTGAGTAACTATAATCAAACTATAGAAACTGATTTATCAATAGTTTATATAAAGATATTTTTGGATAAATAGATTTTCTTTCTTGATTAAAATGCTTAATGCATCATAATTTGAGCAGATGCACAGATTGCAGGAAATTAAGTGCATATATATTGATCTAAATCCTTACGACAAAAAAGTCTAATCTTCCAATTCATATTTTTTTGGTAATTTGCATTTATTCTTGATCCAATTGTTTCATCACATTGATATTGTGTTAATACGTCTTTTCTTAATTACCTTTCCCACATGGCTTCATGATCCATGTTGTGTTGGGATTCTTTCTGAACTCTTCTACAAATAAGTTGTAATCTGCTGGTAACATGAAGGTCAGAGGTATAAAATCTGAAATAAAAAAAAAAAAATAACGAGTTTACAACTGCAGCATTGTTTATGACTTGTTCTTTCTATTTCATTTGCATATTTTAGGTATTTTTTTTTTACTTTGAGCAAAAGTTAAGCAACTCAAAATTTTCAAAAAGGAATATTTATCCATTGTTGTTGTTACTTTGCTGACATTGTCACACTTGGATGAAGGTAGGACTAGCCTTTACCACCAAGCATCAAAATCCCTATTTTCACTACCATCATTGTCAAATGTGCATACTTATTTTATTGTCATTTCAACAACATTTGTAATATCACATATTTTAGTTAGCATCACATGGAGTAAAATATCTACAGTACACATTTTTTTAGAAAATTTTATCAATAATCATCATATGGGGTAACCCATTCCAACCTCAAAGATGTATTGTGAATTCTTTGACTGTGCCTGTATGGGCATTTATGTTTAAGTGACTACTTGTACTCTACAATCATCTAAGATCACCCCCATTTTTGGTAAGGTTTGTTTTGCTTAGTTTTCTATGTTGTGTTTTGTATACTGTTGTCTGTTGGTCATTTTTTTTCTTCTTTTTTGCCATGGCGTTGCAAGTTTGTCATCAAATTATGAGTTTGAATATACCTTTGGGATCTTCTGCCTCTCTGTAAAAAAAATGTTTAGGATATTTTAAAAAGAATTCAGGTACAATGTTACAAATACAGATATGCGCCTTTGTAACTTGCATTCATATCGTTTTACTGTACTGAGTCACATAATAAAATACATGATCCTTTTTTATTGATGTCCAAAAGAAAGCATATTATATTGTCAACGCAAGTTAAAATGAGTTCAACTTTTTAAAATAGCTACGTGTGATAAAAACCAGAATTTTAGAACATGGTCATGTTAAATTGAAATCTGGTATACTAGACTTAGTGTTGAAGGCCGTACTTTGAGCTATAATTGTTAACTTTTTATACATTGCGACTTGGATGGAGAGTTGTCTCATTGGCACTCATACCACATCTTCTTATTTATATTAATGAAATAACTGTTCAAATACCAAGATGAATAAATCTGCCATTTTCATCCTTCTCTGCCAATGGGCTTCCTTCTTTTTCTAAATCTTTTCTGTATCTTTTAATATTTTTAACCATTAAATCTTTTCTTGTTAACTCAACATGATTCGGAAAATGATTTATAACTCTGAAAAAAAAGATCAAGTTAGTCTGGTGAAATAGGGTTCATCTATAATCTTAAGGTAGCTAGCTGGCCATGGAGTGTCTAAGTGTTAATTAGTTATAATTGGGCCTTGAAATAGCTTCAGTAACAGTTATAGTACTCTTAGATTTCATCTTAGTGTCTTTGTCTTTTTGTTAGTTGTTTTGAGCTTGGTACCATTCAGATGAATCAAGCCCTTTCCAACCTATTTTTACATTTAGATATAAGAAGATGTGGTATGAGTGCCAATGAGACAACTCTCCATCAAAGTCAAAATTTATAAAAGTAAACCATTATAGGTCACAGTATGGTCTTCAATGAACAGTAAGCTATAAAGGGCCCCAAAAAATTACTAGTGTAAAACCATTCAAACGGGAAAACCAACGGTCTAATCTATATAAAAAACGAGAAACGAGAAACACTTATGAACCACATCAAAAAACGACAACTACTGAACATCAGATTCAGATCATTTGTTCTTATGTTCCATTAATGTTACACCACTGTCCCAAGTATTGAAGTTAGGTGGAGAATTGAGCTCTCACAAACATGATTAACCCAAACACATTCTTTATGTACTACTCCAACACCAGGAGCCTGTAATCAAATGGTTGTTTAAGTATGAATCTCCTTTGAATAATTAAATATTTTGTCATCTTAAGGCCTTTTATAACATTCTACATGGTATAGGTTTTGCTCATAGTTTTTCACATCCATGCCCTTTGGTCTATGGTCTACTGGTGGATAGCTGTCTCATTGGCAATCATAACACATATCTCCTTATTTTTATATAAACAGTAATTCAATGTAGGCAGCAAAACTATATTTCTTTGTTCAAAATACCCCTTTGATGTTTTCCCCAATAATATAACTGTCATTTACAGATGTTTATATTGAGTACTGCTCAATCCAAGAAAATGGTATCATTCTAACTGATAAAATTCTTTACAAACCTGCCAAATTAGGCATAAATTTTTACATTTGTCTACAAGGAAGAATCCAGCCATTTTTAAAAGGAGGGGGTTCCAACCATATGTCCCCATTCAAAAGCATTGATCGTCAAAAAAAAAGGGGGGTTCGAACCCCCGGAACCCCCCGGATCTGCCACTGGTCTAGACATCGTTGACATATTGTAGTTGTCTTTGAATTTTTTTGAAGTGATTGAAAATTGTTAGTGTTGGTTTTCATATATTTAGGCATCTCTTTTAAATACATGACAAAAAAATACAGAAGAAAAGGTCCAAATAAATACAATATTCTCTTGCAAATGATAGGATGTTTTCTAATATTTAAGAACTTAAAATATTGACAGCCGTAAATGAACATATGATATGGTGACCTATAGCTATATATATATTTTTAGTATACGATCTGACTTTTGATTAATGTCCACATGATATTTTGTATTGTATGATGAAGTATAACTGTCAGTTATTCAGTCTATCTTTAGCTTTTTAAGGTATGCAAATAAACAAAAAAAATCCCCAAATTACTGCTTTGACAACTCACAACTCTAAGATTGTTTTTTCTTGGAATGATTCATAACAGGAATTTCCTATCCATGTGTTAATAATGGGCAGGTCTGAAGACCAAGAGCTTTAAGTGTTGTTCAATGACATTTCATGACTTACATTTCAAGTAAGACAGGCCTTTCAAATCTATTCAATTTGATTGTTGTACATATTAATTGGAGACATATATTGATATTATCAATTTCCTATCAAACTACCTTAAACCTAACCAAATTAACCTCAATTTCAACTTGCAAAATGTTCTCTAGACCATGGAATTGAGGTCAGTTTGATATGAATTTTGAATATCTGCATGATGCATTCAGACTTTCTGTAGAATGTATACCAGGAACCATAAAACTATATATACTGCTGCTTCTTCAGGCTGACCCCTTCCACCTTCCCCAAAAAAATAATAAGTATAAAGGCAATTTTTTTTAATAAATGTGGCTAAAGAAGTATGTGCAGTCCAACTGAGATAAATATGAAATCATCATGTTTTATAGTAATAATTAATTCTTTACTTGTTTCATGAAATAAACACTTATAAATCTTCAGGAGAAGGAAACTAACAATTGTATTTATCTTTCAGATCTAAACTTCCTGAGAAATACTATATTTTCCTTGTTATTAAAAATTTATACATAAATTTATATAACAAAATTTAGCTGTTGACATATTTGGTATTTTGATCATCTTCAACTTTTCCGAGAAAATTACGTAATATTATTTTCAGTATTAATGTATTATCAAATCAACTTAATATATATTAGATTAAGTTTTTTTTTAATTTCGTGACAAAATTGGTGTGGCTCATAAACTATAATTTATCTTCTGAGTCATCAACTTCAAGTTAGGGAATATTGCAACATTCCATTAAAAAAAAGCATGATATAATGTGACCTTCTATTTTCATCGTTAGTGTAATAAAAAAGTGTTAAACCAGGGAAAACGCTGGTGTACTTATTAAGATAATGTTTACAAACAATTTGATCATTGACATATTAATCCTTCCTTCTTAGACGATAAACATTATTGGTGAGAAAAACTGTCAATACTGGTATGAAAATTATATTACATGTGGGATGCAGAAGAAAAAAAATGCATATAATCATGGATTAGACTATGTGAAAGTGAAATATCTGACATTTATTTGCATGTAAAAGAAAACAGATAGCTTTTATTACATGGCATTAGGTTGTTTACAAAAGTTTTGATGGATATTTTATTCCTTTCAGAATTCAAAGCTGAAACAAAATTATGACTGCAAAATTATGTTATCTTATGAAAGTGATATTCAAAATTATGCAATATAGCTGAGACATTCTAATGCAAAATTAGATAATTTCATTAAGGACACATTAGACTTTATAGTTTCTGTGGATTAATTTTCAACATGTCTTTTCTAAAGGATAATATAAACATGCTCGTAAGCAACATATTAAGAACAGACGACCTTCCACCAGTTAGACCCACTATTAGTAGAAGTATGACACTGTCAGCTGGCAGCGATGATGTATTTCTTGAAGACGGTAAGTCAGAAGAGAGGAGGGTCTTAATGGGGGTGCTTTATATCTTTATTTTTAAATTTTTAGATCATTTTTCTGTATTCTTTAATAGAAACACAAAAGATATTGTTCACTTTGCCCATTATTTTCTATTCTTTATTAAATTTCTGCCTATTTTATTCTTTCTATTCTTTACTTTTTTTTATGTTTATTCCATCAATAAGAGGGATTCAAAAGGAAATCTTTTCGAAGAGGGCTGAATTCACTACTTATATATGTACAAAATTAAGTCAATGTAAAAAAGAATATTATGGTATAAAGCTTGGAAACTGGAGAAGGGTATTGTTTAGGAAGGAAGCCATTCAATAGTTTTGTGCATAATACAAAAAAGTTCATATTTTCATATATAATTTGATATTGTTTTTATACTGCTGCTAAAACATGGGACAATAAATCAATAGCCATTGAAGGGTTTTCACAAAAATAAAATTTATTTTCAATCCCTAAATGAGCCTCTGAATGTGATGGAAAGTGATTTACATTAAACTGACAGTGTATAAAACATCCCCCTTTATTTTGGCCTCAGTGGCCAAGTGGTCTAATTAGTTCTACTACTGTAATCACTAGCCAGTCAACACTGAGGTTGTAAGTTCAAACCACGCTCGTGCGGGTGCACTCGACTCCAATCTTATTTGACTAGGATTGTCAGTTTTCCTGTCGAAGGTCGTGGTTTTCTCCGGGCACTCTGGCTTCCTCACCAATAAAAACTGGCCGCCATGAAATAGCCCAAATGTGGCACTTAAAAGTGGCGTATATATAAAGAATATTTAGAAAACAAGAAGTGTTCCAGATGCAGTATTCATATATTTAAAGTGTAGGCACCTGCCTTTTGACGTAAGCATAGCTATGCCACTGGAAACATATCATTCTTTCATAGATAAATGGATATAAGGGCCAGGGATGGGGTAATCGTAATCTGTAATCATAATCGATTGTAATTGATTACATGTTTCCCAGTAATCGGCAGTAATCTGTAATCGAAGACATTTTCGATTACATGTAATCGTAATTTAATCGATTACAGCAAAAATTAGGATGTAATCATCGATTACTTTCGATTACATTTCAATTACTTTTAGTGAAATAGTTTGATGAAATTAAACCTATTTTAAATGAAAATATATATGCATTCATCACTTTATAGTACAGATAAAATAGAAAGTATTTAGACTTCAGAGCTTATCAAATGCCTTATTTGTATCTATTGTCTCAAACTGCATTATGATCAACCAGAACTCCTACCAATTTTACTGCATATCCAGCTTTTTAAACAATTGACTTAACTGTCTTCAATGCTTGTCAATTATTTAAAGACCTTTTATTTTGAAATAAGTAAATAGATAAAAATAAGAAATGAATATTATGTTAAGTTCTGTACTACTTTGACATTGAAGTGTAATTTTCAATAAGATTTGGAATTTTAGCTAAACTAGATACACAGTGGATTCGTTATAATATTATGATATAAAAATCAGAAAGTACACAATGTACCAATTGATTTGCATTGAAATTCTTGTTCAGAAATAGATACATGTACCAAAATTGACACTAAAATGTATCTTGTTAAATATCATGATTTTGAATAGAGTGTAGAAAAATCCCAACAAATTCCTGTGTTTACTAATCAGATGATCAAGGACTTCTAATTATTAAGATGTTTTGATTTCAATTATGTCTAATTAAGAGGAGATTGACATTATATTTCCCAAGGTTATGAAATGTACTCCATTGGCAGTTTTATAACCTGTAATTAAGGAGATTATCCAAACAAAATAATTAATTCATGCATGTATTAGTTATAAATATAATAAATTTACATCTTTGAAATTAGCTGAACTAGTTAATTATTCTTCTTTTTACATTTTAATTGTTAAATATATACTATATCAAATATAGTTAAAAATGAATAAATACAAAATACCTAACTTAAGTCATTATGACAGCAAAACTTAAAAAATATAGAGACATGTGAAATAAACTAGACTATAAAGAAGTGACTGAAGCCATGTGGTGTCATTGCAAGAACTTTATTACATCTCACTCATGTAGATAACCAGATTTTAAAGAATTTTTGAATATTTCAAATCCTCAGTGACAGCTTCTATCTAGAAACAAACTGTCAACTTAAACTTTGAAAACAATGCTTTCAATGAAGTTTTGATCAAGTTATAAATTTCCACTATACATAACAAAATATTTGTGTTTAACTTACTTTATTATCTTATGTAATTTTATAGCATGTAATTGACAGTAATCGAAAAGTAATCCAATTACTTTTGATAAAGTAATCGATTGCAATCGATTACATACAAAAATCAGAGTAATCGATTATTAATCGAATACACAAAAATCCCTCAAGTAATCGATTATTAATCGATTACATTTGTCAGTAATCGTGCCCATCCCTGATAAGGGCTATAACTGCTCCAGTAAATTTTTAATTAGTACAAATAATGTAATTGAAGATTTATTTATTAGGATAAGGTGAGAAAAAAAAAAGAAATTGTCTACAAATAGTAAAATTTTTAGAAAAGGATTTAGCATAAAATCTTTGTTACTGAATTTTTAACTGCTGACAAGTTACTTCAAATAAACATGCAGATGACTGAAAATTCTTCCTATTGCTTGATAGTCAGTCGTAAGAGATAATTTCAACCAAATTTTTGTTTACCTTAGAAATGTGCATTTGCTTCAGAAGGGTATTCCCCTTGGGTCATAAGTTCTCGTTTTAAAGTTTTTTACCACATTTTTTGTCCAAATTTCACAAAAAAACAAATGAGTTTATTTTTTTTATGGTATAAAAAATGCACATTAAGTTTTTGAAAATTTGTTGAGGCAATCTTGATTAGTCCAGGGACCCTAATAACACTAAGGCTATAATTCTATTATAAATAACCTAAAGTCTTGTAATTTCGCTAGTCCGGTTTTGTTTTTCCCCCTTTCATTAAATAAACATAACCTTAAATGAAGAGACTTACAGGCCAAACAAATTTATTGATCAGCTTTGTAGAATAATTGATTTCCCTTGCAGGAATTTGAAACAATAGGATCCAAGAAGCCAATTGTCACTCAATTTGCATTTTTGGAGAAAAATGTTACAATGTACCACAAATTTGTGTGTTGAAAAGAACCTGTGTAAACAAAATCTTTCTTGTTGATCATTTCAGCTGTACCAAGAGTTTTTGTTTATCTATTATAGTTTTAAAGATAATTAAAGAACCTTTGTGAGCACGCTCACATACCCAACGCCCCCACATTGTCACTGGACAAACAAAATCTCACCAGATTCCTAAGTTCAAAGACTCATAAGTCTACAAAAGTCAACTGATAAAAATTTTCTTGTGGATATGCACATTAACTACAAAGTTTCATGAAATTCTGTTGTGTGGTTTCAGAGGAGTTGAGATTACAAACTGTTGCAGTAGTATATTTAGGCCAAAATTCTAAGTTCAAAGGGGCATAACTCCTAGAAAATTAAAGAACCTTAGTGAGCGCGCTCACATACCCCACGTCCCCACATTGTCATTGGAGAAATTAAATATGTGTAAGAAAAAAAAATTGTATAAGAAAACAAAATTGAATCATAATTTCCTGTCAATATGCACATCTACATAGTATGTCCTTATTATCTACAAAGTTTCATGAAATTATGTTGTGTGGTTTCAGAGGAGTTGCGAAGACAATCTGTTGCAGAAGTACATTGAAGCAAATAAGTTCAAAGGGGTGTAACTTCTAGAAAAAAATTGAACGTAATCTCCTGTCGATATGCACATCTACATAGTATGTCCTTATTATCTAAAAAGGTTTCATGAAATTCTGTTGTGTGGTATCAGAGGAGTTGCGATGACAAACTGTTGCAGTAGTACATGTACATTAAAGTAAATAAGTTCAAAGGGGCATAACTCCTAAAAAAAAAATTGAATCGCAATTTCCTGTCGATATGAACAACTACATAGTATGTCCTTATTATCTAAAAAGGTTTCGTGAAATTCTGTTGTGTGGTTTGAGAGGAGTTGCGATGACAAATAACAGGACTGACGGACTGATGGACGGACAGACGGGTCAAAAACATTATACCCTCCGCAACTCGTTGCGTGGGGTATAAAAATTGAATCATAATTTCCTGTCGCTATGCACATCTACATAGTATGTTCTTATTATCTACAAAGTTTCATGAAATTCTGTTGTGTGGTTTCAGAGGAGTTGCGATGACAAGAACAGGACTGATGGACGGACAGACAGACGGACGGGTCAAAAACATTTTACCCGACCCAATAAATTGCGTGGGGTATAATAATTATATAAGCAAAATAGTTTCTGTCAATGGTAAAATTCTTCATTCAAGGGCAATGACTCCTTTAAGCAGTCCACTTATGATATTGGCCATACTTGTATATTTTGTCTAGCTGACCATATTTGCTGTTCAAAGTTTCTCTCTATTCATTATAGTTTTCAAGATTGTAGCCAAAAACACAAAAATGGGTATAAATTGTCATTCAAGGGAAGTTATGCATATAAGGAATCAACTGAATATATCTGCCATGGCAACTTATTTGAAAACCTTATTTTGCTAATAATTTTTTTCCAATCAGAGTTTCTCATTTCTCTCATATTTTTCAACAAAAGTGCAAATAGTGTGTAAAAATTGTCATTTAGGGGCAATAACTAAATTTTGGCAATTTCTGCTATGTTGACTTATTTGTAGATCTTGTTGTGCCTAGCATTTTTCCTATTTACAGTTTCTCTCTAAAATAAATGGAGAATGTGTCCTGGCTTGCATACAATGTTATAATAGGACATAACTCAAGAACAGTAAAAGTGACATCACCAAAATTCGAACTTGATCTGTTTTTTTGTTGTAATAAGCATTGTGTATAAATTTCATAACATTTGGTTGAGGCAAACTTAAGTTAAAGAACGGAAACAAAAAAATTCAGCAATTCTTTCATTTGTAAAGGGGCATAACTCTAGAACAGTAAAAGTGATGCCACCCAAATTCAAACTTGATATGTGTTTTGTGGTAAAAAGCATTTTGTGTTTAAGTTTCAAAACATTGGGCCGGGACGTACAGACGTACAGACAGAAAGACAAGACTTAATGCCCCCTCTACTGTGGTGGGGGCATAAAAAGTGTAAAAAACAAATTAATGTGCCTTTCAGGAGCCTCACCAATAGTTGTCTTTATAAAAATAAGGAGAAGGTGTGGGGTATGATTGTCAATGAGACAACTATCCACCATATTACAAAGAGCAACTACAATTCACCATACGTATGGCCTTCAATGCTTTTTTCACATGTCCTTTTGGAATTCAGTGTTAACATCTTCTTGAAACTAATACTGCAAATGTTTATTATCATTTAAAAATTTAAATATTACATTCCAAATGAGAAATTTTGACCCTGATTTGATGGTTCAATAAACACAGAAATAAAGTATGTGCATGGCATGGTGTCCTCTGCACAAATATTCTTGTATGATAACTATTCATCCAAATTTGGTCTCTATAAGAATTAGTTCTGCAAAGATGTTAGGGTTAATGTAGTCAGGTCAGCTTGTTTACAGGCTATGCAAAACGCTAAAGCAAACTGTCTAATTCTGAAAAATTCACAGCATTAAGAATTTACATCTTAACCAAATTTCTTTCTAGTTAGATTGTTCATTTTTGTTGCCAAAACTTTTTATGAATTTTTTTTAGATGCTGCTCAGGTTGAACTCTGCTTAAAAAATTAAGAATTAAATTTAAAACATCATCTGTAATGAACTAAATATATTGAAAAACTTTCAAAAGAAAACTGGCTAGTAAATAAAAGGTTATTGCTATAAACTGATAATCTCTTTTGACTCATGCAAATAACAGTAACAGTTACAGGACAAACCATCCATGTCTTAAAACTGTCCTTGGATTGATTAGTTCACCCAGAATTATTAAAAAAAATGTTTAATAGGTATTGAAATCAAATTTTTCACATGGGTTTCTCCTACACTTACAAAATGTATCATATATGAGTAATTTTGGTTTCGCCAACTTACATTTAAAAACAAATTCTCTCTATTGAAAATCTAAGGGCTATTCTAGAATAAATTGTATGGGGGGGTTGGAACTTGGAAGGTAGTTTGTTTCAGCAACCACCACCCAGACAATTGTAATTGAGAATCATAGTACATTATAGTGTGAAAAGTTGCCAATCACCCATATATTATTAATGTAAAGTGCCTTCCAACCCCCCAACCCCCACCCTACATTTTTTTTCTGGAATAGCCCTAATTGAATTGACCATTTGAATAAACAGCTGCGCCATGAGTGCATGATACGCCCGTCGTCTTGTGTGTGAATTTTTATGCAATAAGCATAAACAGTTTCTGACATACGGCGTGACATAAAAACCCCCTTTTTTTTTTAAACAAAAAACTCAATATCTCTAAAATAAAATTTTGAATCAAAACCAAAAAGTATACAGATCTTTAGATTAATATAACTAAGAAGTGTGTAAAATTTTAAGCAATAATCATAAATTGTTTTTGAGATACGGCGCAACATGTGAAAACCCCACTTTAAAAAAAAAAAAAAATCAATATCTCAAAAATAAAATTTTGAATCAAAACCAAAAAGTATACAGATCTTTAGATTAATATAACTAAGAAGTGTGTAAAATTTTAAGCAATAATCATAAATCATTTTTGAGATACGGCGCTACATGTGAAAAACCCCTCCCCCTTTTTTTTTACAAAATACTCAATAACTAAAAAATAAAATTTTGAATCATCACCAAAAAGTATACAGATCTTAAGGTTAATATAACTAAGAAGTGTGTAAAGTTTTAAGCAATAATCATAAACTGTTTTTGAGATACGGCGCGACATGTGAAAAACCCCTCCCCCTTTTTTAACAAAATACTCAATATCTCTAAAATAAAATTTTGAATCATCACCAAAAAGCATACAGATCTTAAAATTAATATAACTAAGAAGTGTGTAAAGTTTTAAGCAATAATAATTGTTTTTGAGATACCGCGCGACATGTGAAAAAAAACACACACCTGTTTTAGTTACTAAGTCCCGTAACTCAAAAAGTTTTAATCTTATTTTCACCAAAAAGTATACAGATCGTTTGACCATCATAAGAAACAACTATGTTAAGTTTCATGAAATTTGGATAAGTCATTCCCAAGTTACGGTGCGACATGTTTACGCCGGACAGACAAAAGGACAGACGGACACCGGACATTTGTATACCATAATACGTCCGGTCAAAAATTGACGGGCGTATAAAAATAATTGGTCAACCATGTATACATTTGTAGTTTATGTTTTAAGAATAATTTACTGATCATCTGTTAATCTGTAGCCACTATCTATACTGAAGACATTCCTAATACTCTGTACATTAGCCCTGTAATGAAAATAAATAATGTATGAGGAATAACACCACTAAATCATAGCCCCATTGCTTTCTATGTTAAATTCTGCAACTTCAAGCATTCATAGCTAATTTGCCTTAAGTTTAAATAAAGTGGTAGTCATGTCATGTCAAAACTATACCTTATCCTACCTTTAACTGCATATTAGAGCACACTGGTTCCCAGAAGTTTAGTAGTACAAAAGCACTGATCTGAGCAACAGGGCAAATATGCATCTAAATTTCAAATTTTTTTTATTATTCAAAAGAAACTTTTAACAAAGGTTCTACAGCGGTCCCATGTCCATAAGCTTTCATTTGATACCAAAACTACCCAAGTATTTTACTAATTGACAAAGTTACAGCTATGTGTAGGAACAATTTTGTTTAAAATATGTACTACTTTCTTGTATATTCTATACCATAAGGGGGGATAATCCATTTAGGTAGAGGGGCAAGAGTCAGAGTGGCTTGATGCCCAAATTTTAATCACAATCTGTTATAAAAAATTTAAAAGTTGAAACAGTCTAGTCACAAAAACTAAAATTAAAGAGTATTTTCCTTAAACATGTTGAAGGAGTAGTGAAAGTTGATCCCTTACTGGCACTCTGTTCATAGTCCATTTCATCAAAAGTAAAAGAATGTCAACATTGAAAGTAAAACAAGGTTGAACCATTTCATTGAATGATTCGATTCACAAAAAAATCATTATTATACAGGTAAAAACGATGATTATCGTATTTTTTAAATCTATAACATGAAATCAAACAGCCTAGAAAAATCCAAGTGCACATGCCCTCTATCTGTTTATTTTTATGTTTAAATTGGGTTATTTGACTGTCTGCAGTCTCTGGAGGTCATCTTGATTATATATAAGTATAATTATATATGGCATATAGACTAAAATACACACCTTTTCGTAATTTGGATATACCCGTTAGTATGTTATAAATAATATATGATAATTTGAGTCAAATCGGTGAACATGAATTGAACAGCATATACCCCTTTATGGGCTCAATAATATATATCAGCATTTCGTGGGAGTTTTAGTCTAGATGCCATATAATTAACCATCGAGGTGACCTCCGAAGACTGTCGACGGTCATATAACCCAATATAAACATAAACATAGATATAGATAGCGAACTTGTGCAATTGGATTTTTCTAGGTCTGTTTGATTTCATATTATGGGTTAAAAATATATGTAATCATCGTTTTTACTTGTAAAAGAATGAGTTTTTGTGGATTGAATCACTCAATCAAATGGTTTATCCTTGTTTCACTTTCAATGTTGACATTCTTTTCCTTTTAATAACTGAACACGCCTAATTCATGCGTAATCCATCTCTAGCTAATGGGTTGAATTAAAGGTCACATAAATACGGATTCAATGAGGTCTAAATTATTCACTTGCAAGTGAAAAATTCATCAGCCATGTTTCTTAGCTTATTTTGACAAAACTATTTCACTTTTATTAATGATTGAACAAAACAACTCATATTTTAATAATTTTTTTATATCTCGTTCTACATTTGAGGCATAAATGAGGTCAACTTACCAGTAAAAATTCCAGTCATCATCTGGACTGACAGGGACCCATCCTCTTGCTTCAAAGTTATTCAACAAGACAGACTTGTCCATGTCACACGCATACTTCAAACGAGCCATTCCAGTTCTCTGCATTGTGATATTTATCTACAACATATGTAATCATTGATCCATTTACTCTATAATATAATCAAAACAAGGTAATAAACTGCAAAACATTCACCTCAAAAGCTTACCAAACCTTTAAACAGACTTATTCAGAAGGGATATAGTTACGATACTGTTGTCAAGTCATTAAGGATTGCATATTTTGGTATTAATATTGATTCACTCATAGGGTCTTTGCATCGGAAATAAACACATTTATTCTAAAACCAGTTTTTGGCATGATACGGGTTATGTTCTTCTCATATATTTTATGATGGTATGATACTAAATATAAACCCCTAACGGGAGGGATTGTACTTGATATTCATATGAGGAAGACATATTCTTTCAATCAGTTTATTGAGGTCTGGAGCTGGCATGTCAGTAACTGCTAGTAGTCCTTTGTTAATTTATGTATCATTGTCATTTTGCTTAGTTTCTTTTGTTACCTATTCTGACATCGGACTCGGACTTCTTCTAAACTGGGTTTTACTGTGCATATCGCTGTGTGTTTCTTTATTCTACATTGGCTAGAGGTATAGGGGAGGGTTGAGATCTCACAAAACATCTTTAACCCTGCCGCAATTTTGCGCCTGTCCCAAGTCAGGAGCCTCTGGCCTTTGTTAGTCTTGTATGTTTTTTAATTTCAGTTCATTAATATGTTTTGGAGTTTAGTATGATGTCCATTTTCACTGAACTAGAACACATTTTTATTTAGGATCCAGCTGAGGACCACCTCCGATTTTCCCGCTGCGTTGAAGACCCATTGGTAGCCTTCGGCTGTTATCTGCTCTTTGGCCGGATTGTTGTCTCTTTGACATATTCCCCATTTCCATTCTCAATTTTATTGTACATTTGTACATTTCAATGTTGATCAGATGAATAGAAAGTGAAATGTTTAATTATTAATTTTGTGGTTCCTTTTTTACAAACAAAAATTATTAATTGCGCTGAAAACAGCACACCTACGTTTCACCTTCGTCAAGGAATAAAAGGAGATGTGGTAAGGACATAATTTGAAATCCATAGGGTCAAAAAACAGTCTTTAACAATACTATTGAATGGACAAGTGTTTGACTCTATAGAACAATGCATCTTAAACAAAATAGTTTTCCTCATTGAACCTTTATTGATAAATCAAATGTTGGTCATCAGCTGTGCAAAAAGCCTCAGTTTTGATGATTTTTTTCCCCTATTTCTCGACTTGGAAGACCTAGGAATGCTGATAGATGTAGTCTGTATACAGAGTGGATCCTGGTGAACACATGTACATTACCTACAAATGTGCTTAGGTCTGAGTGAAACTGATCTTGGTATGAGGGTCTAAAGAATGTCATTTCAACCAAAACTTCTGGAATTTCCCAACTTTTTCCTTATTTTTTGCTTCACTTGGATCCGGAAGTAAAATGTACATGTAGTCATTCCCTTAGCATAATTAAACTATAATCCCCATCAGTAGTTATATGTCTGAGGATAAACACTGTTTTGGGAAGTTTTAGGCCTCTTTACTGTGTGGGCAAAACCTCAGAAGGGAAGCCCACATCTCCAGAAAAACCATTTTTTTCTGATTTCAATTTCCAAAGGTTGTATTTGGGCTCAAACTGCACCTTAAACCTCAAAAACATTACAATTAATTAAATAGCCTTAGATCATTTGTAGATTGAGGAAACATGCATAGATTTTGAAATACATATCATACAGTTGACCTCTAAAATTATGAAGAGTCATATGCATCATGGCCATTGGAGCTAAAAAACGGTATTTTGGAAAGAGCACAAAAGTACGGTGCCTGCATTTTTAGGGTTAAGATGTTAAAGCCTGACTTGTGGAAGAATATAATTGTTACTATGAATGACCTTTAAAGACATAAACTGAGACTTGTAACTGTAATAATGGTATTCTCAGGCATATAATAAAAATAGAGATTTGTACAGTACTAAAAGAATTAAATAGCGCTGTGGTAGGTGCATGATATTTTAACTGCTGCACCTTTTAAGTTACGACTTAATGTAACATTCGTACTGATAATAATAGCTATGTTTGTTACACTAAAATAAATTGAAAAAGAACTGTATTTTTATACATTTATATTGCTTTAGCAGAAATGGAAATCCTTTACCTTCCATTATATTTATAATTTAAAATTAAAATGCATAAATACATGTAATTGAAATGAATGTTCATCATGTTCATTTGCAAACATTTTGATTTGATTAACGTTAATATAACCCGCCCTCCCCCTTTTTAAAGAGTAAGTTTGTGGCACAGTCATGACAGTGGGTATATCTGTTTACATTTTTTGTTATGTACACATATATTTATTTATTTAATTTACAACTTCATAATGTACAGACACATGAGAGACAAAAAAAACAACACTTTTTTTTTATAAATGACAAAATTTGATATATTATTTGTTAATTCTTATTTTAAAAAGATTATCATACATCTTTCAAAATACAATTTACATTTACAATGGGAAAATTATTTCATGTCAAAGAAAAATTCAATTAGCTTTTCCATAATAAATACCCCTATGTTATTTGGTCAAGAAAATAAAATGTTTTTTTTTATGGGTTTGGCCGGGGATGTGATTTTAAAATAAACTGTATCAACATGATCAGCTGGTATGTGTATTTTTGTGGCTTGATCTGTGTGTTATTGCTGAATATCAGTACATGAAACGACAGATGCAAACAGGAATGGAGGGAAGCATTTTTACAGTGTTCTCCCCAGAAATTTTCTAAGGCGCAAAATTTCAAGGGGCGTAACTCTAATTTAGAGTGAACTATTGTGACCTGAAGCAATCGGTCATAAATCATTATATGCTCAGTATTAATATACATGATAAAGAATAAGAATATATATATATGAAATAAATTCATTTTAAAAACAAAAAGCATTGATATCACAGTCAATTAAATAAGTCAATTGTATATATAGTTCAAGAAAAATCCTCATGTTTTTCTGGGCCTTCCAATGCTGAACAGCTTCAGAAATATTTATTTCTGTACTCTCTGTTCCTTCTAGAGATATAGTAACAAGACAGTTTGTAATTTTGTTTGACAGCCTGTTCCTCAGTCTTTATCCTCTTTAGGGTTGAAAACATCATCTGCTTTTCCCTTAACCCATTTCTTCTTTGCAAAGAACATGTTGATTCAGCATTAAAATTGATTATGTTTGGTATACAACTTTTTAAAACAAAAAAATTGTAATGAACCAGCTGACCAGTGTCCGTAGTTTGACATTACGCTTCTGTGTGTTTAATTGTCAAAACGTTTCTTTGGCAGGTAGATATAAACAAAACTTGATAAATTCGTCAAAGTTAAGACCAGTGAAATTCTTTACTAGTGACATTATACAAATGCTGCAGCGATTCCATACATATATTTTTCCCGATGGACGAATTAACGATCGATGTTAAAAAATTCTTTTATTTCTAAAACGTGACAGTTGACAGACGAATTTTACTTGCAAGCAACAATTTTTCACTTTCTAATATTTTGATTTTTGGTGTTTTAACACCACTTTTGGGCTATTTTGTGGCGGCCAGTTTTTATTGGTGGAGGAAGCCAGAGTGCCGGGGAGAAAACCACGACCTTCGATAGGAAAACTGACAATCCTAGTCAATTAAGATTGGAGTCGAGTGCACCCGCACGATCGGGGTCGAACTCACAAGCTCAGTGTTGACTGGCTAGTGATTACAGTAGTAACTACTTAGACCACTCGGCCACCGAGGCCCCACACTTTCTAATAAAATAAATCACTCCTCGTTATCTTTAATAAAAGTGTATTTTACTTTTTTGACGTACAAATACTCTCATTCATAAATTTTATCGTAAATTAATTTAGTAATGTGTATTCAAATTTATTCATCATTTACATTGGTCGTGTTAAAATAGATTCTTCTCGACCAATGAAAAAATTCGTTACTTAAATTTATTTCTTCAATTTTTGCACTGAAGTTTTTAAAAACTTTTATTTTCTACTAAAAATATCTATCTTCTTGATGATCATTTACGCAATAACCTGATTTACATCGTCTGATAAGGCTGGAACAGGTAAATCAGAGACTTTTGGTAGTTATCAGTTATTGCGCAACCTTGACCGACCTCTCAGCGGTGATCAGCAACTTGACAATTTTAACCAATATTTATAATTCAAATGTGAAAATTAACACGCTACCGGATCCAGTATTAAGGGACAGTGGCAAATTAAGGCGCTGCGGGATCAACGAAAATATTTTTAAGGCGCTGCGGGACTGCAGTGTCATATCGATCTGGGGAGAACACTGACTTATGCTATTATGGCGCTAAATATCTGGCTGAATTGACCTCAAGATATTCCATTTGCATGCCTTACATGTATATAAGTGAAAAGACACATGCATTCCACATAACTCACATATGTCTCCCTCTCTTATGAAAATTGAAATAAAGAAGATCTGAGTCTTTTTTAAGGTAAGATATAAAGGAGTGGTGGATTTGCTTTGAATTAATTTCTATTAAGGTTCATCATAACAAATGGACAAATATGGCTGTATTTACACCTCAAAAACTTCTCTGTGTACAGACTTACCTGTGCAGTTTGGAAAGTTTTAATTAAGGCCTGGCATCCACTAGATATATAAAATTTAAATGCATTTTGTGATTTAGAAAGATAAAATCATTTCTGGATTTTGATGCACATTTTTTTTCGTTTCTGCAGAAGGTGTAAAAATAAACAAACACCTGATTTGCATTTGATACTGTCCACTCAGTTACACCCTTTAACTCACCTGTAGTTGTGTAGATATCTATTCAGTGGTGGATCCAGAAATTTTCATAAGTGGGGGCCCACTGACTGCCTAAAAGGGGGCCTGCTCCAGTCATGCTTCAGTGATTCCCTATATAATCAACCAAATTTTTCCCAAAAAAGGGGGGCCCGGGCCCCCCTGGGCCCCCACTAAATCCGCCTCTGCTATTGTCCATGCCAACCAAGAATAATCAATACAATATTAAACAGTTGTTACATGAGAGGGAGCATCTCAAAGTTGTATCCCAACTTAGTTTATTTTTACACCTTCTGTACGAACGAAAAAAAATGCCCATCAAAATCAAAAAAAGATTTTATCTTTCTGAAATGCAAAATGTATTTAACTTTTATATATCTAGTTGATGCCTGGCATTAAAACTTTTCCAACTGGAAAGGTAAGTCTGTTTTCAGAGTAGTTTTTGTCAAATTTTGAGGTGTAAATACAGCCATATTTGTCAATTTGTTATGATGAACTTGTGTGAGTGTTTTTCTAGTATTATATCTGAAATTTTAATTACATATACTTGTCGCATGCACAAAAAATCTATTCACATCTCAGAGTTCAACTCCTATATCTGTAGTAGTCTGATCAAGGACGTTTAGTTACAAATCCTTGGTCTGATCAAATTCCTTCACGAAGGCGTCCTCAGCAACACAAAATGCGCCATCTTGGATGTTTAAATAATCTCTAAAATTAAACGAGGGCTAAATATATCATTAAATCTAATGAGAACATAATCATTTCCTTTTTAAACATTTTTTTTAATTTTTGAATTGAGATAGACTAGATAAATTAGAAATAAATAGTAATTCGATCGTTTCTCGGTTAGAGGTTACTTGAGGATCAAAACATGGCAGCGAAAACGTCGAAAAATCTGTCATCACTAAAACAACGAAATAAATCGACTACAGGTAGAATTCTGACAAGTTCTCTTGGGGCTACACCAAGGGCCCGTCTCCCACAGATCTACGATCTATCATATACTCGCTCAAAGGGCTGGTATGACATATGTGAGTGAACAAGACCTTCCAAATTTGTGTACCAGATCAGTACAATATTTAGTAGTAAATTATAGGCATGCCTGGTTTGTAGTTTAACTTTTACTAACAAAGACCATATGTTTTCTTCTTCATAAGGCTTAACATAGCCCTGTTCCCATCTCAATTTTATATGAATATGATGAGTTGTTATGAAAAAGTTTAAAATAAAATATTTGTACAGACTACATGAGGATACAGTAACAAATACACTCATGCGAGTCATGGCAGGGTCCGACACTTACGGTTGTCCGATTGCCCGGGGCAAGCTAATGCCGTATTCGGACAAGTAAAAACATCATCTTGGTTGTCCGATCGGGCAAGTGAAAAAAAAGTGTTATATGATTAAAATTTCACAAAATCAATAGTGTCTGTTGTTTTGTCCATAGATTACTCAGTGATAACAACGCACGGTCGAGTAAAGTGGTCTTAACCCCCCTTCAATGCGTATATTTCGTCAATTGTTCGCACTGAATTCCCCATTTTACCAAAAATAGATCATGTTTAAAAATATTGGCCAATCAGGCGGCCGCGGCGTTGCTTCGTCATTATCGTTATCCATCGGGACACCACTCGGGCGTTTCCGACGCACATGTTATTCCCACCGACCAATGGAAAGCGGAGGTCTATTTTCGTTGTTCTAACTTTATAATTTGACATCGGATGTGTATTTCCCTAAGATGGAAAAACGTAAAAGCTTGAAAGAGAAAATGAAATTAAACTTTAACAAATTTGTCAGTTGTTGTCAGTTTATCAAGAAGGGTTATTTGAAATGGCATTTCTTAGATAAATTATTATGAAATAAGTATCTCTATGTAAATGATCCAATTCCCGTATATTCATCGATCTTTTCCCTCCCTCCTCGGCTCATATATGCCTCATAGTATATTTTCATACTCCATAATCAATTTACACCCCATATACATGATAACTATATTTTATCTGCATGTACTACATTACAATCACAAAAATAGCATGTAAAAGTTTGGGCATGTAGATTTCACTTTCGGACAAGTAAAAGTAATAGGGCACTTGCCCAACTGGACAAGTTGGTATAAAAGTTAATGTCGAACCCTGCATGGGGGTCTGATCCCAGGTCCCGCTTATTGATTTGTCAGATTCCTGTATCCCGCTTATCATTGTTTTAATTTCACTTGTTCCGCCCGACTTTTTTTCCTGTATTCATGCACAATAATTTTACATCACGTGTCATGCTTACAAAACAATCGGCCAATCCTGTGTCACGCTTAGTCCCCAATGAGACCCAAAAATATTACAATGGAAGATGACATTACTACCTGTAATTCTCAGACGGCAAAGTTGAATTTGCAGGTTAATACATGTCAGTGAATCAATTTGGAACTCTTCCTCATACATCATTTGTACATGTATATATGTCAAAATACTTTCTGAGTTGTATTAGTAAACTTCTACTTGTTATGAGTCTTCAAGCATGTCAAGAAGTAAGGATTATTTCTACTTGTTCTTTGTGGTACTTAGATGCATTTACAGGAAAACCAGACTGGTTTACGATGTCTGGTACAGTATATCATTTGGCATGTTGTACGGCAAAAATGTATGGTAACAGGTTAAAATACACACTTGATATTTTGACATTTCTTTAGAAACTAAACAAGAAAACAACATTAATTCCACTAAAACTGCCTATAGATGAGAAAGAAAAGAGGATTATGGATGAGTTTTCTCTGGGTTGAATAATTTTAACAAGGCCAAAAGAGATGTCTTTATCCATTTGTTGAAAAAACAAGCAAATTTTTATTTTAATGGCATGTAATGATCATGATGATTTAATAATTTGAATAATGTAACAAAAGTTAAAACAAACCCTGGCAGATACAAACTGCTAGTTTTGACGTACGCACATGTTTAATTATATATAGTATCGACAGAAAATTGTATGCACAGATGCAGCTTGCAATTTTAAACAGTACCATTAAATTTTTTAAATGTCTGATATATTAACAATGATTAAGGAGCATTTGTTTCCCTTCATTGTTACAAGCAAGATTTGAATCCTTTTCAAAGGAAAATTACATAGTAGTATTCCTGTCTTGTGTACAAAAAGCTGGAAAGAAGATAAGCAAGGGTCTAGTAGCGAAGAGTAATAAATTTTGGACTGGTCCCCTAAATTTTAACTGAAAACTTGAATAACGCTTAATCTTTCATATTGTGGCATTGGGCCCCTGATAGAAAGTGTCAGTATTTTCTGGGCAGTTATTGGTCATGATTTCATCAGAAAATACAAAAAGTAGTTTGTACTTTTAAGGTTGCTTTGCCTGGAAGATCATAGATTTTTGGAAAAAAAATAGTCTTGTCCATGACTCAATTCTTAAGTTCTATAGCTAGTTCTAATATAAAACTATATGTTGTCATGGTTGTGGTTGTTTTTTCTGGTTACAATTGTATTTAGATATCTTTCATAATTCTATATTTCAATTTAAGGAAAGACATGAAAGATTAAAAATGTTGTTCTAATTATTTCCTAAGGCACTGGCCTCATTAGCAGAATGTTGCCAGGTTACCAAGTAAACTAGTTATCCACACACTGAAATTTAGTTATCTCGCATGTATACGTAGATATATATAAATGATATACATGTAGGTAAATACTTTTATGCAAAAATGAACTGTAAAAATTATTGTTACGTATATATCTTCAGGCCATTTTTCAAGAATAAATGTCCTTAGCGTCATTAGCATGATTAGATTTATCAATATGCTGACTAATTTTGTCATTTTAATTAAGTAAGAGTATATTGATACAATACCAGTAGGATTGATGACAACTACAAAAATATACATGTATTATGATCTAGGAAAAATTTAACACAAACATAGGAATGATAGTTGGAATTGTAAATCTTTATTACCTATCTATTGAGTTTATACATAACATGGCAGATCCTTGTTACACAGAGACCTCAGTGGCAGAGTGGTGTAAGTAGTTGATCTACTGTATCACTAGCCTGTCAATACTGAGGTCCTAAGTTTGAATCCCTCACGTGGCAGGTGCACTCATCTCTAATCATAATTGACTAGGATTGTTAGTTTTTAATACGGAAGGTTGATGGTTCTCTCTGGGCACTCCGGCTTCCTTCACCAAAAAAACCCAGACCGCCATGAAATAGCACAATAGACATAGTGTTAAAAGTGGCTTTAAACATCAATCAATCAATTGTTACACAAATCAATATACAGCTCAATACACGATTCTTAACCTCATTAGTATTAGGATAGATGCCTGATCATGATGTATGATCATCTATTAACAGATGAAAGACGTAATCCTTTATCAATACATTTCTTGATTTACACTGCATAAAAAGATCTGTAAATTATCTGTAAATTATGTCTTAATGATGATTGATTAGGGATTAATAAAATGTAATTTTAAAGAAGAGACAAATATAAAGGAAAATCTGCATGCGTAAAAAATGCAAGTGAGGTCATTTTAACTTGTAAATCTGTGTAACAATCATCATGATCATCTGTATTTATTCCATAATTTAGGTTATTTTAATCAGTGAAGATATTTGTACATTTCAATACAGAAAGGTATTTTCAGAAGTACTAGTATTAACCCCCATTTGAAAAAATAAGATAATATTAAGTGTCTTTAATTTTTCTTTTTGAAAAACCTGCTTTTGGAAAACATGAAAGGAAACTAATATTGCAATAAAAATCCTTTGAAAAGTTGTTTTATTTTCCATTATATCATGTATATTATTAAAGACTGATAAGTAGAAAAAAAATATTAAAACAAAATCAGTACACCTTCTTAAATGAAATACTAAAACAGTTTGCCTTTAGAATAAAAATTCTTCAAGAAACTACTATGATATTTATTTGATTAGGTAATTATACCCCACGCAACGAGTTGCGGAGGGTATAATGTTTTTGACCCGTCCGTCCGTCAGTCCGTCAGTCCTGTTTCTTGTCATCGCAACTCCTCTCAAACCACACAACAGAATTTCACGAAACCTTTTTAGATAATAAGGACATACTATGTAGTTGTGCATATCGACAGGAAATTATGATTCAATTCTTTTTCAAGGAGTTTCGCCCCTTTGAACTTATTTACTTTAATGTACTACTGCAACAGTTTGTCATCGCAACTGCTCTCAAACCACACAACAGAATTTCATGAAACCTTTTCAGATAATAAGGACATACAAGGTAGATGTGCATATCGACAGGAAATTACGATTAAATTTTTTTCCCAGGAGTTACGCCCCTTTGAACTTATTTGCCCAATATACTACTGCAACCTTTTGTCATCGCAACTCCTCTCAAACCACACAACAGAATTTCATGAAACCTTTTCAGATAATAAGGACATACTACGTAGATGTGCATATCGACAGGAAATTATGATTCAATTTTTTTCCCAGGAGTTATGCCCCTTTGAACTTATTTGCCCAATATACTACTGCAACCTTTTGTCATCGCAACTCCTCTCAAACCACACAACAGAATTTCATGAAACCTTTTCTTACACTTATTTTATTTCTCCAATGACAATGTGGGGACGTGGGGTATGTGAGTGCGCTCACTAAGGTTCTTTCATTTATTCTGTTTCAAAATTAAAATGTGGAAAACTTTATACTTGAACTTAACACAATTTGATAGAATATTAAGCTGCAGTTTAACAGCAGTTTACTCCATTAAGCTCATTTGATCTACTGAAACAATTGCTTATTTAAAAAAAAAAATCTGCTGTAATATAGCTACATGTAACAATTAAATATGCAATAGAGCTATATAGCAAGTTTTTCTTGTCCACCACAGGAAAATATGATTGAAATTAAGCACACAATTTTTCCAATCTTTCAACTATGTCCACCAGTGATTTCTATCACTTTGGCATTTTGTTCTTAAGACGGGGGCCATGGTTATTCATCTGCTGATCTCTAATTCTTTCCACTTCTTTTAAAAATTATTTATTAGTCTGTGCTATTTATGCACAATTTTACTAACAAATATTTACACACACTCATGTACACATGCTTACATTATTATATTTAAAAAAAAAAAATTAAAAAAAAAAATTAATTGCTCAATATTTTCCATTAAAATTGACCTGTGGTAGAGTACTACTGTTAGCCAGGAATGCTTGATGTTGTAGGCTGGATCCCCAGCCTGGTCAAACCAAAGACTTGAAAAATGGTATTTTTTTCCCTCTGCTATAAAGCTGCCTAAGCATGTGACATAAAGGAGTAAGGAAAAAGACTGGTTGGATGGTCAGAATATAGTGTCTGGGTAGGGTGTCATGTCTTCCTGCAGACTAGCAGGTTAAAGATCTGACTTAACATGTTGGTCTGAGACAAATAAAGGTTCTTGTTCATATCACTTCATTGTGTCCTTGTCCTGATCGATTGATTCATTTACATGTATGTGCATGTTTTGCCATTGGATGTATATTTTGTAAGGCAGATAACAATCAATCACTTAATGATATGCATGTGATATTTGCCACTAGACATTAAACACCTATCCATTATCATCATATTAAAAAAGAAATTTAAAGATTTCAGTAGTAAGAAAGTCCGTCATTTTGATTCAACTGTTGTAGACCACACACTAATTATGTATATATGAGTAAACATCATTAACATGTATTAAGAGATGTGAGGTACTTGTAAATGAAACAGTAACCAAACAACAAAAACACAGACATTTGAATTTAAAAGTAATCATTTGGTCTTAAGGGAGCATTGTCATCATGTGCAAAATGTAGTAAGCTCTTGTTTGCTCTGAAACTCAAATATTATTGTCATACTGTAACATAGTTCATGTAGTTGTCTCATTGGCAATCATACCACATCTCCTTAATTTATATGGCATCTTAAAGATAGATGGCTTAAATCTCCAACAAAACACCACAGAAGGAAAAAAATACAGATATAATTATATGCATAAAATAAAAGGTTAGGGAACAGATAATGAGACAACCATCCAAAAGAACTAACTTGACATCAATATACAGCGTTCAACAATAGACAAGCACCAAAAGCATGTATACATACATCACAGTTACAAAGACAGTTATTTTTTCATTAAAAATGTGTCTAGTTAATTATAGATTTTACATTTATATTTCCAGATGACTCGAGTACTACACAGTTTACGTCACTGAAGTCCAAACCTGAAGAGAGCAACAGAAGCAGCACTGGGTCGTTTGTCATACTAGGCCTTATATTTGTAACATCTATTGTAGCTTTAGGGATTGTTTATCTAAACTTCCCTAAGGTTGAAGAGTGAGTATTTGTGGCTGACAGTCCTTTGTAAATAGTGGTATAAATAACAGGACTGTCTTCAAGGTTTGTATCATATGGTTATCACACAATTTAAGTCTTTGGTCTTACTTCTAAATGCTGTGTATATGGAAGGGAAACAGAAAATACAAGTTTTAAAACCAAAGACTTGGTCCATGGCTTCCCACACTTGAGGAAAGCAAGTTACCATGAGAGATCAGAGGTGGTATTTAAACTTTGAAATGATATTTATAGACATAAAGGTACTTTTATTGCAGTTCTTCATCTTGCCGGTTTCTTGAGGGTATGTATGTTTGAATATATTGTTTCCTGAATTTATGATCATCAGAAGGGCTAAAGCTACAAATTTGAAAATTAAATAATTTGAACAATACAAATTGCCTGGGAAAAAACCAAAGCATATAAAACAATGTTATTGAGCAGTCTAATAGGAATCAATCTAAATAAAAAGAGATCTAGGAAACACTGAAAAAAATGTTGATATAAAAGTTATTTCACAATATTTACAGAGGTGAGAAATTTATTCTTATTGTATTGCATGTATTGATTTAGTGTCATTATAATTTAGATTCTCATAAAATGATAAACTTAGGAAAAAAAGTATAACAAAAATACTGAACTACAAGGCAAATTCAAAGGGGGAAGTCCATAAAAACTGACAAAATCAAACGTAATTAAACAACGGAACAAGTGGAAAACGACTGTAATATTCCTGACTTGGTACAGTTATTTTTTAGAAGAAAATGGTGGGTTAAACCTGGTTTTATAGGAAGCTGAACCTTGCACTTGAAAACCAGATAAGGACTGTTGCCTAGAAACACCCATAAGACCAAGGGAAGGCACTTCAATCAAAAAGCCATGGGTGTCAAAGACGTTTTTTGTGTTTTTAGTGAAAATGCAAGTAAAATTCTAAAATTGCAGAAATTGGTTTACCCCATTCAAAGTGCATTCCTTAATATCATGTATCTTATCAGCCCTAAGAAACTGTAGAAGGATTGCTTATAATAGCATAATTTTTAATAGATTAAATTGTTATTTTTATTTTATTTTCATTGAAATTTAATATTGATCTTCATTTTCATTGGTTTTTGGTCATCTTTTGTAATGTTGTAAGGGAGATAATTCTAATAGAAAATACAAGTTTGTAAATATATGTAGATCGAGTCTGGGGTTTACAAGACTCTTTCTGTAAGACTGTACACAGTTTTTGTTCTCTAAAAAAGATGTGTGAATCCCTTCCCTCAAATATATATATTTATTTTATGCCAATTAAAATCTAATCCCTCGAGCTCTCATATGTGCACTCAATGTCATACTGGTTTGAAAATTTATCTGAAAGTCCTTTGATAACTATGTATTAAACAAATTAGCAATTAGATCCCATTATGTTTAAATATGGAAAAATAGATTTGTAAAAGCAGTTATTCTCCCCCAAAAGATGAAGGAAAAGAGTTTCTAATTTCTGGTAAATGTTTGGAAATCCCAACATTGAACATTGTCTCTATAAAATGTGAAAACTGGTATATACTAAATCATCATGTTTTTACTTTGAAAACCAATTTGTTTATTTCAGATCAGAAAAGCAGCATATAAAATTACCTAGAGATATAGAGGACGCTAAGCGATTAGGAAATGTCTTATCTAGATATAAGGACAAATTTTATATACAGGTGTTAGGTGCTTATTTCATAACATATATATTGTATCCTTTTAATTATCATACACAGTGATCTGATTGAAGATTGTTAATCAAACCACACATAAACTGGTACCCATAGTTTGACCTCTTGCATTGCTTATTATTGTTGGGACCCAGTTTGCTGCAAATGACCTTTGGGGTCATTAGGGAAAATTTAAAGATGAACTTGATAAAAGAACTCTTTTTCCTGAATATATGGTGTTGGTTGACAGGTCTATAGAAATAGAATATCACCAATAAGCAATGAATGTAGTAATTAATACAATTTGATCAACAAATAAGGCCAAATAAAAGTATATGTGTGGTTCCAGTTACATCCTGAAAAAAAATAGGGTCTTTAGGTTGGCAATTTTTTTTGGGGATTGTCAAAAGCCTGGAAAAAACTGTGTGTTCACAGAGTCGGATTCAGGTATTTAACACGTCCTCACCAGAAGTTCTGTGAATTTAATTATTGCAATTCACATTCAACAAAATGTGGTCGTTCGAAATTATTTTTTCAGAAATGGAAAAAAAAGTTCTAGGGTCGGGGGGTTTAAACTAGGGTTGGTCAGAGAACTGGAACCACACATATGCTTTTATTTGGCCTAAGAAGAAAAACAATAATTTGTGTATGAAAAATATGGGAAAATGGGTTTTTGTCAGTCGCCACCTCACAGAAGTGTTTACATTTTATTACAAATTTAGGTGGGCATGGTTTAAGACATTATATTGTCAGTGACTGTATAGCATAAATATATACATTCAACGCATTTTGACTGCTCAAATAGAATGACTGCAGTATAATAGCTTGTATATACTCATTAAAAAAGTATCTAACAATACATGTCACTGTTGTAATTGTATTTGAAGAATTATCTCCTTAACTACTACCAGTTTACAATCATTTGCTATACCAGGATCCATATTTCTCAGTATACTCTCAGGATTCCTGTTCCCATTTCCACTGGCATTATTTTTAGTATGTTTGGTAAGTATTCATAATTTTACTATTAAGTTTTCACTAGAATCAGGCAATATAAGAAATTCTTAACACTTATAAGCAAAACCTTGTCAAATTAAGCATACAGCTTCTATTTTGCAATAATCTCAATCGCATGCAAGTCAAAAGGATTATGTAGATCATTTTCATAGCTGTAGGTTGTGTCAGTCATGAAAGTTTTTAAAGAAAAAGTTAATGATAATTGAGGTACTACCCATAAACGGTGATTTAAAGTGAATTCTTTACAATTTATATCACCCAAAGTTAAATCAACACTCAGTAGATCAGCGTATGATATTTGTATAACAAAAACAGATCTAGATACCTTCAACATTGGAAAAGCCCCAAACACATATGGCAAGCTTTGTATCGAATATTGGACAACTCGGCTGGAGGCAACTCAGACCAAGTCAACTCGGACCAACTAATTTTAATAAGTCAACTGAGGGCCTAGTTTTCTTGAACCCTTTGTATCGAATCATGTCTTGACAAGTTTTATTAGACTTAATACCAATTAACAAAGATCTAACAACATGTAATCTGTGAACAGGCATGATCAAGACAACAACAATCAATGATGCAATTCTTAATTTGGAGCAGGGTAGTAGCTTTCTGGTTTGTTTTTAACAAAGGTATGAATATACCAGGGGTGGACCAATCAAAAACCACAAGTTAAGGAAAGACAAACACCATGGCCAAAAGGATAATAAGCAAACTATTCGAGAAGTCCACAAAGTACTACAGAAAACTGAAGATTGAGTACTATATACTCTACTTAAAAGTAAATAGTTTTGTTAATAAAATGATGTTTTTATATACTTCCATAACTTCAAATGACACCATAAAAGAACTAGAGATCAATATACTGTCAGTGTCTTAGTCCATAGACAAGTGTCCATACAATACAAATCAAAAGTTAAAAAGCATACACATTAAGCATGAGATATATTCTAGACAAGTGAAAGGTCTTATTGATATTAAATGTAAGTTTAATGTTTATGCTTTGTATTTTTCAGTGTTCTGGTTTAGGAGCTTCATTTTGTTATTCATTATCATATCTAGTAGGGAAACGATTAGTCGTGAAGTATATACCACAGAGAGTTATAGAATGGCAATCTCATGTAAGTACATATCCAAAAGGTATGAGGAAGAGGGTAACAGATCTGCTATCTCATTTAGTAAATACACATTCAGCACATACAGTACATATGAGGGGAGAGTAACAGAACGGCAATCTCATGAAAGTAAATACCCATGATATACATACATGGGAAGGGTTAAACAGAATGGCATTCTCTTGGAAGTAAATACTTGTACATGTTACCTGAATGGCAATCTCATAAATATATAATTGTTCAGTACATACAAGAGAGAGTTGCAGAATGGCTATCTCACATAAGTAAATACCCATAATGTACATACCGGGGGGAGGGTAACATAATGGTGATCTCATTGAAGTATTAACTTCTATAGAACACACCATTTGGGAGGTTGTTGTTGCAGAAAGACAATCACATACAAGTAAATAAGTAATTCCCATGCATGACATACCAGGTGGAAGGTAACATATTGACAATCTCATGTAAGTAATTATTACCAATAGTGAATACAGCACATACCAGGGGGAAGGTAACATATTGACAATCTCATGTAAGTAATCATTACCAAAAATGAATACAGTACATACCAGAGTATTATTACTAATAAGGAATACAACACATACCAGGGGAAGGTAGCAGATTGGTAATCTCTTCCATGGCAGTAGTAACTTACAATGTTGGGGTGGGGGTTTTACAGAATGGCAATCTCGTGTAATTTTAAAAAAGGAGATGTGGTATGATTGTCAATAAGACATCTATCCACCAGAACCAAATGATGTAGATGTTAGCTACTCCATGTATAAGTTATTGATTGTAATGCCTTCTACAATGAGCAAAAGCCATACCACATTCCTAGCTATAAAAGTATATACAAGTATACGTGTACAGTTACCAATAATGCATCATGGAGGGTGACAAAAAATATTCATATTCATTGATACTACTTTATGTGGGAGGGTAACAATGGTAATTTAAAGTAAGTACTCTGATGGAATATGTATCAGTGAAGGAAAATAAAACTGCCATTTATTAAAGCAGTGCTGAAACTGTACATAGCAGTGGGATGTTTAAAGTTACACACATGCCAAGGGTGACAATGCCAATTTTTTTCTTTCCAGGTAGATAAACACAGAGAACATTTGTTGAACTACATCATATTTTTGAGAATTACACCATTTTTACCCAACTGGTTTATAAACATTACGTCACCAGTCATAAATGTTCCAATTGTACCATTCTTTGTTGGAACATTTTTAGGTAAGTTTTAATGATTTCAAAAATACCCATTCGGAATTCTAATAGATCATTTTTTCATGTAATGATTAAATTTGATATAGAATTAAAAAAAATGTTAAATATATCTTGGTTTTTTGTGCCATTTATCTCGTAAAGCCTAACAAATAATTATTTCTTTTTCAGTTGATTTTTAAAAGTTGACATGAATTCATGGATCTATTAAACTGGTTTGACTGTTAGTCAGACTTTCGTTACATATTATTCAGCTTTTGTATCATGCAATGATTTGATATTTGATATGCAACTTTGTATTTATTTGTTGTACAGTTGCCTTGACAACAATTAGGAGATTAATTATACCCCACCAAAAAAATTACCGTCGGGTATAATGTTTTTGACCCGTCCATCCGTCAGTCTGTCTGTCAGTTCTGTTATGTCACCACAGTTCCTCTGAAACCACACAACAGAATTTCACAAAACTTTGTAGTTAACAAGGACATACTAATTAGATATGCATATCGACAGGAAATTATGATTCAATTTTTATGCCCCCGCCAAAGCGGAGGGGGCATTATTTTTCTAGGAGTTATGCCCCTTTGAATTGGCCTTCATGTACTATTGCAACAGCTTGTCATTGCAATTCCTCTGAATCCACACAACAGAATTTCATGAAACTTTGTAAATAATAAAAACATATTATGTAGATGTGCATATCAACAGGAAATTATGATTAAATTTTTTTTCTAGAAGTTATGCCCATTTGAACATAGAATTTTGAACTTGTTATACTACTGCAACAGTTTGTCATCACAACTCCTCTGAATCCACACAACAGAATTTCATGAAACTTTGTAGGTAGTTAGGACATACTATGTAGATGTGCATATCCACAAGAAATTTTTATCAGTTGACTTTTGTAGCAGTTATGAGTCTTTGAACTTATTAATCTGGTGATATTTTGTTTGCCCAGTGACAATGTGGGGGCTTGGGGTATGTGAGCATGCTCACAAAAGTTCTTTAATTTTCCATACATTCTTTAATAAATTTTATATTTGATAGTTTGATTGAACAACTGGTATCACACACAACCTTTCTTTGATAAACTTATACATGTAATGTACATTCACTGTTTCAAAATCTAATGCATTCTGGGAAATATTTTCTTTTAGAAATGTACACCAGAATGTTGTGATTGGTTAAGAAGATCCTAAACAATTGATAGCCAACCAATGAAGTACTGTTATTTTCATATTGGTGTACGAACAATAAGAATACCCATAATCCTTCAGGTTTGGATATTACAAATTGGCTGCCATATGCTAGCAAGTAGATTTGCTTTTATCCATTTGGAATAATGAAATATGTACCATTGCCCTTATCTAGCAGGCTGGTACATTTTGTAGTTTATTTAAAACTAATTGGACATTTTTTTGCATTTTACCAGCCATGATCACAGTTTGTCTTCTATAAATTATAAAATTATTTATTTTATTTCAGGTGTTATACCACCATCATTTATTGCAATACAAGCAGGTACAACGCTACATCAGCTGACATCATCCAGTGACATGTTATCGTGGACTTCTATAGGCATGCTAGCATTGTTTGCTGTTATATCTTTACTACCTGTGATATTCAAGAAAAAAATACAAGAAAAAATAGACTGAGATTTGAATAGATTTTGTAAATCTGATGCATTGTTTGGGATTACTGGTGGATATTTTTGTTATGCATTGTTTATTATTGATATGTATATCTGTTTTATTGTATCCATTTTATTTCAACATCTAAATTAAATCCTTGAGCTACTGAATATCCGTATATGCTGACTAGTGATGAACCTTGTATAAATCAACGTCAATAACTATAATGCATTTTGTCCTGATTGTACAAATTTTATACATATGTTAACCAAAAAAAAAGCTAGGCACTTCTAAGTGTGTGCAATATAAATATAGATTGCTTACTGTGCCACGATGTTTTACTTTTCCCCTGTCAAAAAGTAGGATAACATTCTCAATAAATATATTTTACTTTAAAGAAAAAAAGCTTTCATATAATTCCTGATTATTATACAGTTTTTAAAAGAACAGTTACTCTGAAAAAAAATATTGAAATAAGAAAGACCATTGGACACTTTCTCTGTTAATGAATACCATTTCTGGCCATTTGTTTGTTTTTCAATAAACACAATGTGATTTGCTTGTGCTTGGCTCTGTATTGTATAAAATTCAATTATATTGCCAAGCTTCTTTCCTATGGTCTGATCTTGCCTTGTTGACAGTTTGAAAAAAATGACCTTGCCTTTTCAACTTTTCTTAAAACATAGACAAATCTTTATTGAATATCTAGAGAAGAATAGGAAATGTTGACTGTAAAATGTCTAAAAATCTATTGAAAAATATTCTATATCATAAATAATTCAACATTTCCCTGGTTGTGTTATATTTTTTATGCATTCATCTATGACATATCCCATTGAATACATTTAAAAAATGTTTTTATAAAAATAAACTCTTCAGGATTTGATATAGGATTTGTATTGTCTAAACAAAAATTAAGAGAGATAAGAGACCTGTTGAGTATGTTTTAAAAAACTGAGGACCATAAATTTGTTATTATATACCATATCCTTATTTTGACAAATACTTGACCGTGAAACTTTTATTTATAGTAATGAAGATTATTTTATCGATGCAAAATTAATTATTGAGAAATATGAAGAAATTCAGTGTTAAGGGCATACGATACAGATTTGATCCCACGGTGAATTTTTGACGAAAGTTTGCATGCAAGCTATTTTTTACCTAGTCAATTCAAATATGTAATAAAAAATATATACCTTCATGGTCTACTCTCAGAAATAAATTGGGTCGAAATTTTAGAAATTTACTGGAAATTTTGGTTTCTTGGACATTTCTATCATTTGGAAAGACATACTTAACTTTTTCGTTTCAAAAGGTAACAGCAAGCGAAGTTTTGTAAAAGCATCTGGAATATCTTCTCTACATAAGTGTGCTTTGAATTTATGTAACAATTCTTTGGACAATATTCATTTTTGTCACATTTTCATGATTTTAGTCAAAGAACAGCATTTTTTGCTGTATATTTATCGAATCTAAAAAAATTTCATCTGTGATTTTTTCATAAGAATTGGCACAAATAATCTTCATGTATAATCAAGCCAAATGTCATTTTTTAAAAAGAAGGGTCCATGAACTCCTTTTCAAGTTAAATCGGTTTAAATGATAAAAATCTGTCTAAAAGGCATCTTTTCCCGATATGTCACAGTTTGACGTCGTGAAAAATAACATTTTACATTAGCAATGTCATTACCTCCCCTGTAACTGTATCATATGCCCTTAAATTCTTCAAATTAAAATACAGTGAATCCAGTTTAAACCAGATTAATCAGAAGCGATTTTGTTCTGATAAGACAGATATTTGGTTTACACAGGTTGAAATATCAAAGAATGTTAAATTTACCCATAAACAATGCATGCATTTAGTTTAGACAAGGGTTTATGTAGAGTAATGTAAAGACCAGTTTCACTGTATTAAGCTAGTCAGATTTTATATACATGTTATATTTATTCGAGTAAAATATATGTATGATCCCAGAATATGATGTAGTTTGACAGAATTGTTTCTGTAGATATACCTCAGATTATTATAGTTCTCTGATATTGTGTATGGTGTGTGTAGTTGTTCAATTAGGTAATGAATTTGTTAACTGGCATTTAATTTTATGTTAATTTAAACAGATATATGTATACAGAATTATTTTTTATTTCACATTTTTAGTTCCTTGAATTAAATAATTATGAGGTCAAATCAACATAAGCTTGACTGTCAAAAACAAAAGCCTTAAGCTAGCCATATGACCAACAACCTTATTGAAAAAAAAAAATATTATCTTCAAAGATTACTTAGGTACTGGTATATCAGATCCATATAATTCCACTCAAACTTTTGCAGACGGATGTAAATAAGTAACTTCATTTTTTGTTACCTTTAAAATTCATTACTTTTGCTATTATGATTTAGAATAATATTTATTAACATGAGATCATTGTATATATGGTATACAAACTATTTTAATAGCTGTTGAAATTAGCTGCTGATGTTTTGTGTTTTGTCAAATTAGTATTTATTGTATTTATTGTTTTTGGAACTTAAGGTGCTAATAACTTTGTTGGTGGTGCCAATTCATTATGTATTGTTTAGAATTGTTCTTCATTATTTCAAATACATTTGTTAAAAGTTCAATACTCACTCTACATTATAACAAAAGATACACAAGAGTATACTTGAGGTAGAGTTACACAGTTTTTAATCAATATGATTGAAAAACAAATCCTGTGTTCAGGCTTTGCTTTTAGGATCTTACAATGAATGCTCTATTCAATTTTCTATTTTAATGATTATTACATCACACAATGAAATTTCTGCCTTCAGATTTTTCAATGTACATGTTATTATGATTAATCAAGAGAATTCAGAAAAAAACCTTGGGTTTGAAAGTAAAACAGAGCATTGTTTGATCCTTGTAAGAAAAACTGGTACTCAATGAATAATTCAACCAATCCATAATATTTTTCATCAGAGTTGTGGACCAAGCTTTGCCTTATTTATGTATATTACATCCTCTTTTTTAACTGTCATTCATCCATGATTTTAATCTTTAATGCATTATTTTCTTTTTAATTAAAAAAAAAAGAGTAAATAGAATGTATTCATTTGAAAAAAAAATCCTTTTAAGTATTCCTTTTCTTTTATATTGGAACACTTTAACCACCAGTAGATAAATTCCACTTGTGTTGACCAAAACCTATAATTGCCACATTAGATTTTTTAAAACATAATTGATTTTATTGTACATTGAGTATTTGAAACATTTATAAGATGTTTTGGCCACTGTCCAGTTTCTGTTATCTATCTAAGCTACAAGGAAGATAAGTTACTTTCATTTTTTTTCATAATAGATTATGAGAGTGATTTGTCTACAATGTTGTTTTGAAAGATAACTGAGAAACTAAAGAAGGCAAGTGGCCAAAATGTCTTATAAATGGTTTATCTACTACAATAATATAAAACAGAGGTCGACTTAACAAAATTTAAAAGTATGGCCAATAGGGCGCATTAGAACGTAAATTTAATGGCCCAACTCAAATAAAATTTGCCCTAATACATGTAATACTATCTAAGTGAAAATATAGTCAAATGTAATGACCAATGGGGCCAGTAGTCTTTATGTTCAACTGGCCCTATCGAAATTCTACTGGCCTTGGGTCAGCGGGCCAGTGCTTAAGTCCATCCCTGTAAAATGAATTCCCTTTTGGAATTTTTACACAATATTTGATTTTCATTTCTTTCCATTATTATTACAATACAATTTGTTATATGTTCCATGTTTCACTATACTTGTAAATTAAACATTTATTTATTAGAAACTTTATGAATCTCAGCACATTGTGTTATAATCCATGGTGTGATTGAAAAATATAAAAACTTTTTATCTAAAAAAAAATACAGTAATCAAATTAAAAAAAATACTGCTATTATGTTTTTATTTGAATTTTGATTTTTTTTTTTTTTTTACAAGGGCTGTTAAAAAATTCAATGTCAAGGGAGGAGTGATGGGTGTCAGGAGGCACTTATTACAACCAAAGCCATCAATAATATAACTCTAAAAACATTCCGACTGATTCTTAAAGCTGATGTCAAAACATACAATCACCAGTCAAATTTGTGTATCTCGACTTATATGGAATAGATCTAACTGAAAAATAGACTGTAAAGAATATTATTCAATGAAATTCTTTATCATGTTTAAAAGCTGTTCAACATTTCTTTTCAAAATTTTTTGGGTATTTTTTTAAAAGTATTTTCTAATAAAAAATAACTGATTTAAATGTGTTTAATAATTGAATAATTTTGTCAAAAGAGATCAAAAGAATAAATTTCTAAACAAAAGAAACTAATTAAGTTTATTGTTTCAAATAGAAATTAAGGGCATTGTCAAAATTAATATTTGAGATTTATTCCACAAATATAGTGTATAGTGGGTTTTGTAAGGCTTCATACACTGCTAAAATGATATGTACGAAGCAGAAATTTTTATTCTTACAATGTTCTACATCAAGTAAACTTGTATTTTGGCTTTTATAAACTAAATCTTAAGAGTATCTATATATAAGAGTAAATTATAGCATACTGAAGACTTTGTAATAATATGTTATCATTTCTATTCATCCTTTTAATTTAGTATTAAGAACTAATAAAAATAATAGGTCTTTTATGTATTGTCATATTTTAACTTGCCATTATTTGAATTCCAATGAGGCATTATAATTGCTGCCTTATGTTTGAAGGCAAGGGAAATGAGCTATTGGAATTTGTGTGTGAAGGTTCCACTCAAACACCAGTATTACCGCCTTTTCAAAAGAAATCTTCACTGAAACCATGTTAAGCTGAGTCATGATTTTTCAACTCATCTGAGAAGTAGATGAAAATAACACTTAATAATTTGTGTGCCTTCAAAGCACTGTTCTCGATTAAAGGTTCATCAGGAACACTCTAACTTATAAACATTAAAAACCTGAGATGTATAAATACTATCAGGCGGTGGCAGCGGATACAGTATAAACTATTTGTATAATGCTTTATATTTTGGAAGGTAGAAGACCTGGATGCTTCATAGCATGTAAGCAGATACCGATACCTTATGTTACAAAGTTTCCGTCTGTCAAATGTTTATTGTCCTTGACCTCATTTTCATGGTTCAGTGATTGCTTGAAACAAATTTTGAGATACTCGCTTATTATGAGTAATAGGATAGCTGTCAAACTGGCAGATTTCATCTGACCTTGACCTCATTTTCATGGTTCAGTGGACAATGTTTAGTTTTTGTGGTTTGGTCTATTTCTCAGCTACTATGAGCAATAGGGCCACTAAAGTTTGTGTATTGAATAATGATTGTAAGGAGTCCATGTCTGTCTGGCAGTTTCGTATGACCTTGATCTCATTTTCATGGTTTATTGGTCAATGTTATGTTTTCATCATTTTGTCAGTTTGTTAGTTAATCAGATACTATTAGCAATAGGTCAATTATATTTTTATATATCAAATGCTTGTAAGGTATACATGTCTGTCTGACAGGGTTCATCTGAACTTGACCTCATTTTAATTGTTCATTAGTCAAATCTTTAATTTTCATGGTATTGTCAGTTTATCAGATACTATAAGCAACAGGTCAACATCATTTGATGTATGGAATTATTATAAGATGTGCATGTCTGTCTGGCAGGGTTCGTCTGACCTTTTTCATTTTCATGTAATATTGATAACATTAAGTTTATGTAAAACTTGTAAAACCTTTATATTACAGACTTTTAACATAGATTCAATCATAAGTAAAGAAGGTGAGACGTTTTAGCGTGTGCACTCTTGTTACATTTATTATAAAAAAATTAAAGATGTGGTATAGATGCCAATGATACAAATATCAACCAGAGTTCATTCAACTACAACCTTTGACAATGAGCAAAACCCATACCTTATGGTTAGATATAAAAACTTAAGGCACAAAACAATTAAAACTAGTTAACCAAAGGCCAGATTTATCAAACATATATAAACGAAAAAAAATATTACAGACAGCAACCAACAACAACCACTGAGGTACCTTTTGGACAGACACATACAGAACTTGTTGAGGTTATAGAAGCTCTCTCCTAAACATGAGACAGTGGTTTTCCAATTTACAATATAACAGCTAACTTAAAAAAAAACAGTTGGAAATGGCTTGACTGGTTAGATAAGCATGACACACAAAAACAAGTAACAAATAGACAAAAGACACATAATTCAATCTATTAAGATAATCCGCAGTTATTGAAAGCAAGTTCAAATCCAATAGGGCTAATAAATAAATCATGTTTTCCCAGGATAAAATAGCAATCAAAACAAATTCAAAGGATTTAGTATAAAGATGTCATAAGCGGGCTGAGAAAAACATGACCTTATGTATTGTAAGCAAAGCGTTTAAAAAACGAAAAATATCATTGTGTTGCAAATTTTTGTACTTTTACCAACTCGTACTTCTATCAATTCCTACCCAATTTTCAGTTGTATTCATATGATATATACTAGTTATTTTTTATAATATACATTGTTTTGGTTTTTTTTAAACCCAGAAAAAACCCAGATATTTTGATTTAAAATGATAATTATAAAATATACGAATTGAGTGAACTCTAAAAACTTATTAAAGTGGGAGGCGTTCATTATCACTGAACTAGTATATATATTTGTTTAGGGGCCAGCTGAAGGACGCCTCCGGGTGCGGGAATTTCTCGCTGCATTGAAGACCTTTTGGTGACCTTCTGCTGTTGTCTGTTCTATGGTCGGGTTGTTGTCTCTTTGACACATTCCCCATTTCCATTCTCAATTTTATTTATATAAAAACACAGAGACGTTAAAAAACATAAATTTCTGAATAACTGCAGCACTTTGAATATTCGGATTTAGCAAAAAATAGATATTTCTAATTGTGATTGACCTTCAAGATTAACCTGGTGTACGGTTCAAACCGTATATGCTATTGCTGACAAAATTTCTGACTTGAATTAATTGATGTTCTGGTACCTAAAATCTCTCTTCTCAAATCGCAATTAGCCAAAAACAAAATGTGACATGCCGATAAGCAGTCAAAAATGAAAACGGCATCAATCAATAAAATCTCATTTTTAAAAAAGAAGCCATTATTATTTGGTATACATCATCATAGAATTTCAAAAGAGAATTAACTAAATACAAAATTAATAATTACATGGCAAATAATACGATTGTTGATATCCCAGATTATATAAGAAATCAAAATTATCTTTAAAAGCAATATACATGAAAATTGGAGCACATTATAACCTAATTACTTTCATCTCTAAACAATGTCATGTGATTTCTTCAAAGTTCTCTTATGCGTATTCATTTTATTTTAATTATTGTTAATGATGACTCTGCTCCACCATAAAGATACCAAGTATTAGCAATAGTTCCCAGCCAGACTTGATCATTAAGATTTAACTTCCGGGTTAAGGTTACAGCACCAATTCGGTCTTCAAGTCCACCATCGTTACTATGGTCAATGTCTGTTTGTGAAATGCTAATATAACTGCATACTAAATATCATAAGTGGTTTCCTTTAAACTGACCTTATAACAATTTAACATGTAAACTATGCTAAAGTGTTAAAGTCAATAGAGAATGAATGAGGGTATGGATCCAAATAATCCCCATGGGAATGAGATGTGCCATTTATGCTTCTACAACTACATACCAATTAACAATGATTTACCATAAGTGATTTCCCCTTTAACTGACCTAATAACACTAACTTTAACAAATTGTTGACGCCCCCGAAAACAACATACCTCAGCGATTCCGCCAAGGGGAGACAAATACAGAAGATACGGAATAACATTAAAGTATGGGCATTCTCTACCCAATCAACAATAATAATTTCTGATACTGCAAAAGCTCTCCATACCTTTTAAGACAGTGTACTGTTCTTAAAATCTTACTGATTGTGTGTTTTCTTCCTTTGAAAATGTTATTAGTTTAAGGAGAAGCTCAAAATACTGAAATATTGAAATACTGTTAATGCAAATCTAAAGATTGAAAACATTGCATAGTAAAAACATTTGTTTACCTAGTGTTTATTATTTCTTCTTTGTACTGAATATGTTTATCACACCTTCCTATGGATTTTTACATCTAATATGATTAATTTAAATGTCTTTTAGGGATCTCCATGCAGTTTGGTAACACCCAGTATTAAGGACCACATCAAAAGATCAATGTAGGATAAAAAACTTAATTCACATAAATTCTTCCAAGACCCCCACCACCACCCCCTTTCCAACTTAATTTGGAAAATATTAACTATGCACTGAAAGAATGTTTTCAAATGCATTTTAGCATGTCATATCATGAGTGTTGTTTCCTAAACAATGATTGATTGATTGGTTGGTAGTTGCTTAATGTCCAGTGGCAAACATTGTACGCATATTCAGGACGAGAACACATTAACAATACATAAAATAGGTAGGTCCTGTAATAGGGATCGGCCGGGTAAAAATTTGGACTGCCAATGGAAAATGAGGGTAAATTGAATAGGGACAGGAATTTAGCCTTGCAACTGGCCACATACGGACCCATCAAAAAGTTGTTGAAAGTGTTCTTAATGTGCAGAGAGCCTTGCACTCTCTTTGCACGATGCATCAGATTTAACGCCCTCATTCTGACTGGACGTGATGTGAATTTACACATCCCGCACAACCAAATGGACACCCCACTTTGGCAAGGGTTTTACTGACGATCGGAAGGAGACCATTTCTATTCCCCAGTCACTCTTAGTGTTCCTCAACAATGAATGGTGTCTAGTATACTATTTGTATTGACTTTTGGCATACCTGACTAGAAATATTGATGTGCAAATGCTGATGCATCTTATTATTACTAGTTATTATTTTTTACATACACTACAGTCAGTGTGGAACCTGTGCCCAGTATGGGGAATTGTATCTATAGTTTATACGCTTATTTGAATAAATTCATTGTTTATTTCTGACCTATGGAAGTCAGATGGAAGCAAATTTTAAAATGATTTTGACTTGTTTATGTCAGACCTCTGACTGATAGATATGTATTTAAAATTTAAGTAGGGACTCATTTTTATTGTAAATTTATGTCAACTTAAACATGAGTGGGCTGTGCAATTGTGCCCACTATGAAGAGTGGTCATGGAAACATCCATAATGACTGTACTTGTATATCTATAATTCAAAATCTTTTGCATGCACACGTATAAAAATTAGAAAATGTTGTTTGTGCTGTATTTAGACCCTCTACCAAGAAATTTGTTTTGCATGCACACGTATAAAAATTGCGGTTTTTATCCAACGCAATCATAGGTTTGAACGTTGTTTTCAATTAAGACTTGTTTATATTTTTTCGTTTGGGCTTGTATTATATTTGCCTTCGGGTTTATATGATCCGTTCATCCTATTTCGACTCTTCAAAATTCAAAGATTCCTAAATTGAGGTAAATTATATGGCCTTCCAAATACAGTTTCGATTCCTAACATCACTGAAGAGACATTAATTGTCAAAATCCGGATATCCGGATATGGTGTACTACTTTTTGCACCTTTTGTTTGCGGTATACCATCTTTTCCGCAAGTTTATTGTTTTTCTGTTTGGTATTAAATCAATAATTAAGATCCATTTTGTTACATC